GACTTTATGATTTATGAATAATACAATTTTCACAATTTTTCCAAATTCTAACAATTAGTTAGTGGAAGTATGTAAAATATTTTAACATTTTTTTCTCTTTGATATTATGTAAAAATTAAATGTACGTGTAACGGTATACTTTTAATTTAAATAAAAGTTAAGGGTATTTTGATATTAATGTGTGATTAGTTTCACTAAAAAAAATAGATACTTTTTAGTGGGATAGACAAAAATGATAAAAATGATGAATTATGACAAAGGCGGGAGTATCAAAGAAAAGAAAATGAATTTTAGGGTTTTTTTTTTTGGGTTTGATATTAATTTGAAATGAAGTATTGATTTGAGTTTTTGTTTATACTCCCTCCGTCCCATTGAAAGGTTACCATTTTTATTTTCGTCCGTCCCAAAACAAGGTTACCATTTCCTAATTTAGTAATTGTACTACATACTTAACATAAAAAAATACCCTTTCAACTTACATTATAATACTAATAGGGGTATTTTTGTTTTTTTTACTACAATCCTAAATAATACTAATATTCAAAAATCTATGTGCAAAAAGCAAATGTCACCCTTCCAATGGAACGGAGGGAGTATAATATTTTAATTTGATGCAATATTTTATGAGAAAAAAAATATATTTTAAAAAAAAAACCGTATAAAATGAATAATAGTAATTTGGATTTCAAATCGCAACCTTGATTGTTAGAATTTGTAAGCAATATGTTTTTATTCCTATTTTTGCTAATGTATGTAAAGTAGCAACAATAATAGTATTAGGGTGTGTTTGTTTGGGGTTTGGATTTTGAATTGGAATTTAAATAGTAAAAATTTTGAATTTGAATAGTGATATGATGTGATATAAATAAATATTGATGTGATATTTTTTTAATGTAAAATTAATTTTTAGTATAATATAAAAAAAATAAAAAAAATATGTGTGTTGGAGAAGTGATTTATCGAACAAAACACATTCAAACACTTTAAAGGGCCAACTCCCGAAGCGTGGGTGGTCACAGTTATAACTACGTTTCAACAACGAAAAACAATGCAGAACATAAAACAACAATAAGATAAGGTGTTTGTTGACTCGGTTCGATTATCAACCAATCTACATACAGGAGATTCCAATCTATGAGACATTCTACTAATAAGTGTTTATTACAGAGTATAAACAATCACAACTCATTCAACTCAAACTTCTATCATAGTCTACCTTGGAAAATACCTCCACAAGTTCACGTTGTCACAAACGTATACTGGCAATGATCATATAGCAAAGCCGCTCAGAGTTTGATCATCCTCTCCGGTTGGAACTCCTTTAACTCCGATCACGTCGACCTCTCCAGTGAATTTTTATGTCAAAAACTCATTCAAACTAGGAGAATCTATATGGATGGAGGGATGAGAGCTTCACTCAATATTCTTCTATCTAAAGTATGATCTCCAAATCACTCATCACCAATCTTCAACCCTATTCGTTGAGTAAATCACTCACATTTCTAGAATAAAAGATTTCACATTAATTTTCCTTTGCACCGAAATGGAAGGAGTGAGTTTCCATGTTTTGATATTTCCTCAAATATGTCTTTTGTCTTTTGGAAAGTCTTTGTTGCATAAATTAAGACACCATTAGTTCATATGCCAAAATAACTTAGAGGAATTTCTATTCGCAATGTGTTTGATTTGATGTTTTTGAAAAAAAAAATTGAATGAATAATATATTTGGGGGAAAATTCCCCAAACAAATACACCCTAAAGAAAACTAAAAGTTGAAAAAAAAACTGGAAAGATATATAAATAAGAATGGAGAATAGAGCAAATGTGAGAAGTCAAAAATATATCATAAAATCCACTCAAGTTTCAATACAAATCAATTTTATATAACATAAACATATATTACTATATTTATTTTTTTATTTAACAGAAAAATAGAATCATAAAATATAACTTATTGAAAATATTGAAAAATATTGTGTAGATAGTACTCCATAAAATATTGAAAAATATATTAAACGAAAAATTTTGAATATACATATCGTGAAAATATTTTAAGGTAAAACAAACACGGTTGTGGTTTGAAATTAGTTTGAAATTGATCGGTGATTTAATTTTTTTGTGTAGATAGTACTATCTTCATCCCAAAAATATAATTTTATTGTGTTGGGCACGAAATTTAAAAAATATTGATATTATATTAGTAGTGGGTAAAAAGTAAGGATAAATGACTTTTTGCCCTTGTGACTATATTAGTATAAAAAGTAGTGTCAATTGTGTAATAATAATGAAAAAATATGAATAGTTTTATGGTGATATGGTTATTTATGAAAATGAGACTATTGTTTTGGGACGAACAAAAGTGATAAAAAGACTATTATATTGGGACGTAGAAAGTAATTTTTATGTAATATTTTGTTTAAAAAAAAAGTATGCTTTGTAAAGAAAAAAATAGAATATTTATATTAGAAATTGTGTTAAATAAATAATATTAATTTCAATTTGAAATTATGAAAGAACAATCAATTTGAATAAGTTTAATTTTTTATTAAATTAATATTTTTTAAATAAATTAATAAAATATTTTATTAAAATTATAAGTTATAATAATAGTAAGATAAAAATAAATACATTGAAATTTCCATGAACTTTGGGAAGTCCAACATAGACTTTGACATTTTTAGTTACATCTTTCCCATCTAGGGAGATAGGAGGAAAAGAGAGGAGAGATAAATTGTATTAATTATTTAATTTTTTTATCTCTTCAATTTTAAATATTTATTTATTTTATTTTTTATTATGTTGAATGTTGAAATTAAAATATTAATATATATAACATTTATTTAATTATATATCTAAATATAATTATATATTTTAAAATATTTTTAATTAAATATTTTAAATCAGTTTAATTATAATACATTTTTAAAAAATTTATATAATAAATATAATACTCTCTCAGTTTAATTTGAAATGACTCATTTTATTTTGGACATATTATTTAAGGTAATGTAGTTAATTAATTAATAATACTGAGTTATAATATTATATTGCTCCCTCAATCTCATAACAAAGTATTTATTTTTTTCATTTTAGTTCGTCTCATAACAAAGTATTTATTTCATTTTTAGTAATTGTATTATCTACCTAACATTACAAATATCTTTACAACTTACAATATATTATGTCATTACTTTTATATCACACAATACTAATAAAATTATTTTAGTCATTTCTACTTTATTCATATTATATCTCGATATAATACTAATATTTCTAAAACCCAGTTCAAAAAGCAAATGAACACATAGTTATGGGACGGAGGGAGTATTATATTTTATATAAGTATTATTTTTAGTAATTTTAAATTAATAATTAATATATATAATTAAAAATAAATTTGAAATATGTGTTTAAATATTATACCTCCGTAAAATATATTTAATATGAATATCATTTTATAAAAAATAAAATTTTAAATAATACAAATAAATATACAGATATATATTTGTATATTTATAATTAAGATAAATTAATTTATAAAAAATGTCGAGTTTAAAATGTAGAAAATTTGTTTATTAAGGAAAGTGATATTATAAACTTAATTTATATTTGTTAAATATATTTAATTTTAATAAATTTTACAAAAAATAAAAACATGTTAATTAAAAAGATACAAAAAAAAAAATTGAGACAATTAAAATAAGACGAATGAGTAATAATTTACAATAAAATATTTAAATAAATATATTTAAATTAACTAAATTTTAAATTATTAGAATTAGTATTAATAATTAATTTAATTGGTATACTTTATATATTTTTATTCTTACTACTTTTAAATAAAATTATGTTTATCCATATTTTAGTTTCAATAAATATTTTTTTATTATAAAATAAATTATATCACATTACATATTGTGTCTAAATAAATATTTTTATTAGTATGTTATTTCAAATTTTATTATATAATTTTATTTATATATTATAGGGGTATAATACTAAAATTATTTTAGTTTCTTTCACCTCCTCTTTGTAACCAAATGTAAAAATACTATTTTTCATTCTCTTCATTCCATATGGATTTGTGACCGTGAGGTTTCAGGGTTCAAACTTCTGACGCCTTAGGTCCACCTGTCACATATGTTCGTCCAGTGTGACTTTTCCGTCGAGCTTGATTTGTAGGATATTAAGTTTGGCCGGGAGTTTACCCAGTGCGCACTTTCGGACAGCGACTACAAATTTCCACGTCATCCAAAAAAAAAAACACAATTATAATTTTAATATTTTCTTTTCTTCCTTAAAAACTCTTCCCTCCTTTGAACCAAACATACCATTAGAGAATATGTACTAAATCTTATTTTGTATATATATATACTAACTCTTATTTTGTAAGGATGCACAAAGTAAAAAAGGTCCATTAGTTACAAAATACATACGAGACTTTAATTTTTCGACACTATTTCTCAATTGTGATTTTGAAAAATAATAATAAATAATACAAAATTTTTCTTACAAAAATAAAAAAGTCAAAAAAAATAATAAATTTAAATACTCATTATAAAAAATCAAATATTTAATTTAAAATAATATATTTTATATTTTTAATACAATATTTCTCATGCAATATATAAAAAATCTATTCATCTAATAACCTTGCATGAACAAAAGTTTTTCGAAGTTTCGGTAGTACTATCTTCGTCCGGCTCTAAAGGTCTCATTTACTCATTTACTTTTTTGCGTGTTGATTTTTAAATATTAATTATTATATGAAAACATAGTTACTAAAAAATTGCAAAAATACCTTATAATATTAATAGAAGGATATTTGTACAAAATATTATACAAATATAAAAATATTTTTAATATTAAATATAATAAAAATAAAAAATAAATATCATCTTAGAGGCGGATAAAGAGAATATTTATTTTTTAAATATATATATATAAGTAAATTCCAAGGACCCCACTTTAAATATATTTAGACGAAGAAAACAAGAAGGATTCGCCCCCAGTAAGAAAAATACAGAATTGCCGACCGACTTATACGTAATGGAAGAAGCTTCCTACGACTAAGTCATACTCATGCCGAGGGTGTACGACGACTGGGAGAGACTGGTTCACGCTGTTCTCGACCGGGAGGAGCTCCGGCGACTTGCGCTCTGTCCTAGCTTCAGCAGCTCGAGTTCCGCCGATTTCAGTTTCGACCTCTCCATTGATGATTTTGAAGGTACTACTACTTTCATCATTCTTCACTCTTTCACCCACACTTTAATTTCTCAGGAATTTTGATTGTTAAAAAATTCTAGGGTTTCCTCGGCTTGTGTTAATTGTTCTCGATTTCTTCCGAAAATTGATTTGATTCTAGATGAGAACGCATCCAATCGAGTTATTCGGAGAACATTTATATTCGTGTGCCAGTGTGTTGAGAATTAGGAAGATCTTGTTTGAGGACATAAATCTGATTATTATGGTGGATCTGTATTGGTAATTGTTTGTCTTTCTGTCCATGGAATGTTCATGAGTTTCCGCTTCCAAATGTGAACTCATTTTTATTTACAGTAAAGTTGAGGTCATAGTTGTTGATTACCTTTGGGAATGGCACTGCCATTAATGTATCTTATTTGAGCTCCAGTTTCTGGAAGAACTACAAGTGATGAGCAGAGGCCTCAAGACGACACACCGTCCCATCAAATTTATTGCAAGACATTCACCTTTCACGAGCTGGCCATTGCTACAAGAAATTTTTACAGCGACTGTGTTATAGATAAGGGAGGTTATGGCAGAATGTATAAAGGACGTCTGCAGGGCTCCAATCTTGTACGCCATTAAATCACTAAACTATCACATTGCTCTACATTTTGAGATTTAGGTTTAACTATTAATCGATTGTTTAGGTTCCTTTGTGTAATTTGATAAGATGGTCTCTCTCTCTGTTTGTGGTATTTTGGTTTTGTAGGTTGTTGCAGTAAAGGTAGTCGAACGAATTGACAAGAACAGAGAATTTCTTGTCGAGACATTGATGCTGAGTGTTCTACACCACACTAACATTATAAACTTAATCGGATATTGTAGTGAGGGAGATCATAGGCTCCTTGTTTATGAATATTCGCCGCTTGGCTCTTTGTATGATCACCTTCATGGTACAAAACTTAATTAACCTCTGTTAGCCATTTTCGATACATAAAAATGTAGCTTATGGTATTTTCTTACATATATATCCTTGCAGGCCCTATGCCGGGTAGGGAAAATCTCGACTGGAACACGAGGATGAAAATAGCTGCCGGAGTAGCCAAAGGATTGGAGTATTTGCATGACAAAGCTAATCCTCCTGTTATCCACCGTAATTTGAAGCCCTCTAGCATTTTGCTCGGGCAGGGGTATGAACCAAAGATATCTAATCTGGGATTCGCAAAACTCGGACCCTTTGGGGACAAAACTCATGTAAGCACACGGGTTATGGGTACTTATGGATATTGTGCACCAGAGTACGCCATGACGGGGAAGCTGACCATGAAAGCAGATGTCTATAGCTTTGGTGTTGTTCTTCTGGAGATTGTTTCCGGCAGAAAAGCAGTCGGCGATTTAGAAAATGGAGAAGTCCTGAGCATCATTCCATGGGTATGATCCAGCTAGCTGCAGATGATTATTGCATTTCTATTAACTTGTCAAAGATAATCATCTGATCCTTAATTTAGCATATCTTCGAGTAATTGTTTCTGAGTAATCGTAATGTGCATTATTTTCCAGGTTAGACCATTATTAATGGAAAGAAAGTACGTGCAGATAGTCGATCCTGCTCTGGGAGATCGATATCCATTTAGGTCATTGTCCCAAGTTCTTGCTGTGGCAGCGATGTGTATTCAGGAGAAAGATGAGTCACGTCCAACAATGGTGGACGTTGCTGCTGCTTTAACTCATCTGTCTTCGCTGAAATATAAGGTTGAAGCTCAAACAGGCTCTGCTGGGAACTCTGCTTGAAAGAAATATGTATAAAGACAAGCAAGCAACTATAATTATTCAGGTTTGTGCTATGTTATGTTATGCTTTCTGTTGTGTATCTCTATTTGACACAGTAGATTTTCTTGATGGAGGACTGTAATCAGAAAATTTTTAGTAAAATTCAAATTAATGACCCTACTGACATCCCACAAACCAAATCTGAACACAAATGATATATGCAGTGGAATGTAATGCAAACTCTCAAAGTTTGTTGTGTTCAAATATTGTCATCTGCTTGTTGTTTGCTGTGCAGAATGAAACGAAACAAATGGTACACCAGTGTGTGTGGACCCAGTTCGGCCCTCAACCGGCCTACGTCTGGGGGTACCAACCCAGGGCGATTCCACTGACTAAGGCAGGAACAAGATACATAGCTCCTCACACAAACTCCACAAATCTCTTGTCACAAACATTCAACTAAAATGCATTGGTGTCCCTACACCACATGCAAGTGCACGTTGCTTCGTAAAGGCAAGTGTGCAAGGCCGAAACCACCGTTGCCTTGTTCTCTGAGATGGGACGAGGGTGTAGGCAGCTTCACCCTTTCTTCATTCAACTCTTCTTGGAATCCACTTTGCATCAAACAAACGCTCGGCAGTTTGTTGACACAACAGACAACAGCGATCCCTTCATGATATGATTTTGGCTTCGAATCTCCAGCAATTTCGACTGAGTTCAGACCCAAATGATTGACAAAATCTTCCCAATTTTTTCTACTCAAAATATGGACTAACCTCACAATGAAAATTCCTCAAAATAAAAGAGTACTCTCCCCCTCGACAAGAAGTATGACTAAACTATTACATAATTGGATTTTAGCTTTTCATAAATAAATAATGATGAAAAGAAAATCTCTAAATTTCTAGCTCTAAGCTCACGAAACTCCCTCATAATTTCTCTCTCAATCAATGATGAAAAGCTTGAAGAAAGACAAACCTAGGAAGTATGTATATATAGAATATACAATCCTTCCTTTGGTCAATAAAAAATCGACACAATAAGCTTCCAATTGATCAAACAAATTTGGATATATTCAAAGACATGTATCTGACCATAAGAGAGGAAATTTGACATATCTATATTCTCATAAATGTCCTTAGAAAAGATGATAGTCAAATATATGCATCTTTTGGAATGGGAGTGAGAGACTTTATCTTCATGTTTGTCTTCTGTTTGTATATAATCTAGTGGGACAAAACCATTGTCTTTGTGTGCAGTAGGACATTGAGATATATATCTTGTCTCATCTTGAAGCTTTTTAAATGACCAAAACATAACCATGAACTCGAGCAGGGTTGCAGTTATGCATACAACTGATTAGTCGTCTGATTTATCTGAGGATCCAAAAGGGTCCTCCTTTTTCTTATTTCTCTTTTACTTTTCAAATCAATGCTACAACAATTTCTTTTTTTTTTTTTTTTGTACTTTTTGCCTATGAAATATTGAGGATTTGAATTGTCTTTTTTTTTTTTTTTTTTTTTTATCTCCAACGAGACTTTCTCCAGCTAAAAAAACAATGTGGTAAAACATTCTACATCAACAGTCAGCATGGACACACATGCACCAGTTGGTGGTCTGAACATTTTGCGAATCCCCGATACATTAAACAAAATTTCATACCAACACTTACAGGTCAGTCACCGATCAAGACACTATACCAATTCGGGTTAGAAGTGAACATTGTTGTAATGTATAAAATTGGTGTAACAATTGAATTAAGGTTAAGAAATTTAGAAAACAATATTGAAGCAAAATACTTCAAAAGGTTGACAGTGAGTGTTATAAATGATGTTGGTTAATCTATAGATAATTTAATTGAAGGTTGGAATTTAACTAATACTCTTTGTTCCAGCTAAAAGTATCTCAGTAATTTTTTATTATTTTTTAATACACATTCTATTTATAATAAAAAAGCTTTATTTGTTTATAATTTTATTATTTCTACTTTAATAAAAAATAACAAATTTGTCATTATTACATTAATAAATTCTTTATAATACCTTTTTTTTTTATTTATCTCATTTTAATATTATAATATCATTATATCTTAATTTGTGTATCCATCTAAAGTTTATAATTTTTCCGGACAAATGTGAGTGAAATGAATTAAAAAAAGTAATTGACTAATTATATGAATTATTGAACCAAAATTTTGGGCTTTAAGATAATGGACTTGCAGAGTTTAGGCTTGACTTTATGTGTTAAAGTTGAATGTATCCCAGTAATACAAATGAAATTATATGTTTATATATATATATATATTTGTCCGATAAAATTATATATTATTATTACTCCGTCCACACACTAATGTTCTATTTTTCTATACTTTTCTATTTGAAACGTCTAAAAATAATTGTCCTCTTTCTATTTTTATACATAGAATTTTATCTTTTTACCCTTACTTTATTTATTTTTTTTATATCTATATACAAAATAAATGATTATTTTGTCAATTTACAACCAAAAAATTAATTACCTAAAAAAATCGTGTAAATATCACTTTAAGACATTAGAAAAATGATCGGAGGGAGTATTATTATTATCATAATTATTTTTTATCTATCCGTTAAATATATTATCATTATTATTATTTCTGCAAAATGTCTCTTTTTGCAGAAAAAGGGATTTCCCTCCAGATAATTAGTAGAGATATTATAAATTTCTGACGCCATAACAAAATAAAATCTGACATGATATATTTTCATTTGATAGTACAACTCATTCTATTGATTTAAATTTTATGAACATGTCTATATTAAAGATGATATAAGCACTATGCTAAAATCTATTCATTGTACTCTATTGAATATGAAATGGGTATAATAGTCCCTCCGTCTCAGATACCATGTCCACGTTGCCGTTTCTATCCGTTTCATATACCATGTCATTTTTCTTTTTTAAAAAATGATTACACACTTTAATCTCATTTTAAATTTTTAAATTTTATTTTTTTTAATTTTAATTAAACTAATTAGTTATCTTAGTCTTAATTTATAATTATTTATATTATAGAATAATTATTTTCACTAATACATTCTTAATTATCTACTAATTACACCCCTGTCTACAGTGCAGCAGACACGGTATCTGAGACAGAGAGAGTAATCTCTAAGTTTCCATACAAATAAACCTCCCTCGGGACTACGATTATGCATACAAAACAAAAATGAAAGTAAACAAAAACAACAATAAATGAATAAAAAGGTGATTAAGATCAAACCAAACATAAATTAAATTGTAAATCAAATCCAAAAAGATCATAGCATGTAATAGTCTTCCTAACTACGACAAAACAAACATTGGAATGGACTTCAATCAACATCAGGATACTGTAAAATTTCAGACAAATAAAGGACTAAACGGCTAACTTAAGCAAGCTTCCGGGTCATATCTAGCGAGTGGAAGTTAGGATAAATAGGAATTGAAAAAAAAAAAACAAAAAAAAAAAAAATGAAAAATGAAGAACAAAGAAAAAATTAAAGCATGGAATTTGAAAGGAATTGTATAGATCAACATAAAATTATACTCGCTCCGTCTCAAAACAATAGTCTCATTTTGTCATTTTCGTCCGTTCCAAAACCATAGTTGTCAATAACGCGCTATAGTGGCGTAGCATAGCGGAAAAGCACTTTGCTGCTACTGCCACTCCGCAATTCCGCGTTTACGCAAAAGGAATATAACTTTAACTATAAAATGTACTTTTTTATTATAATATAGACAAAAAAAAAATATTTATCTTAAATCTTAATTAAATTTTTAAATTCATTTTTAGAAAAGAAACAAATTAAAAAGCCAAAAGTTTGCAAAATTTGATTTCTATCAAGTATAACCAAAATTTGTTAGCTCATAATGGTAGCAATGATGTGATTGGTCCTATTGTTTTGAATGATTCCAATGAGTGGTTAATTAAATAAGTTGATAATTTCGGAAGATAAGTTAGTCTTTGACAATGATAATTTGACTAGATGAGTTGTTGTTAATGCTAATAGGTCTGCAATCTACACTAACATACAAACATCAATACATCAATGAGAAAGAAAGTTATAGATACTTCGAGCTCTAAAAAGGGAAATGATATTATACAAGGTGACGAACATGCAATTGAATAAATTGATGAGAATTAAGAAGAGAAAAAAAAATATATAGACAAAAGTAATTAAACAGTGAAGATGATGAAAATGAAGAATAAAATTTTTTATCAGATTTTGAATCTGATTAGCTTTGATATTGTTGGGGTGAGAATAAGTGTTGCACCAATAAATTCTCATACACTTATTCAAATGGGCCAACTCCCGAAGCGTAGTTATATCACAGTTAACGGCGACTTTTCAATGAAATAAATGCATAGTCCAAAGCAATAAATGACAAGTTATTTGTTTACCCGTTTCGGATATAAATCATCCTACATCTGGGGGATACCAATCCAGGAGATGTTCATTAATCAGTGCTGATTAAGAACAAAACAACCAAACATCCTTCAACCCAAACTACAAGCTGATTACCTAGGAAATTCCCTCCACAGGCATATGTTGTCACAAACGCGTACCGACAACTAACAACAAGCTGGGTTGCTCAGATTCTGAATGTTCCCCTGATCGGAACTTCGATCTCCCTTCAACCAACGAACTTCTTCGGCAAGATAATAGTTATATCACTCACTCAAAGCATGGAGATGGAAAGGAAGAGGTTGAGATGATTGATACAATATTTCTCTCACTACACACTCTCTCAAAATCACTCTCTTACTTCCCACTAAACTCGAGCTGAGTTAAGCAACCACAGCAGCCATTGATTTGACATGCAATTAATTCCCTTGATATAAACAAGGTACGGTCTGTATCTAATAACTTCTGACTACAAGAGAACAAACTCAAAGTGTCCATTTTGTCTTGAGCAACCACCATTCCTAGGAAAGACAAAAAGACAACTTGATGGGACTCCACAAGTTGAGTCAAATGTTGCTGTTTTTGGTAACTAACGACCACAACAGCAGAAAGAAGTATTGTCAATATGCCAAAAATAGGTGAAGGGATTTTGATCAACTTAACAATCTCCTCCATTTTGGCATATGTGACCACGCACACTGTGCAGGAGATTATCTCCCACACTCAGCAAAGCAATCCAATAATTCAAAAATCAAGTTAAAACTTAGATTACAGGCCAACAAGCAAAATAAGGCTACACGCAACCTATTTAAATTAGAAAGTTGAGATAACAACAGTTCCAGCAACCACAAATTCAAAAACAACAACAAACATTTCCAACAGCAGAAGCAGACAACCAAAACATGACAACAGTAGCACGACTCCCACTTTTTGCTGCACCTTCTATTCAGCAACCCCTCTTTCTCCTGCACCTCTTCCCCTTGCGCGGAGCAGATGCCAAAAAAGGTTGGGAGATTGTTAAGTTAATCAAAAACCCCTTCACCTATTTTTGGCATATTGACAATACTTCTTTCTGCTGTTGTGGTCGTTAGTTACCAAAAACAGCAACATTTGACTCAGCTTGTGGAGTCCCATCATGTTGTTTTTTTGTCTTTCCTAGGAATGGTGGTTGCTCAAGACAAAATACACTTTAAGTTTGTTCTCTTGTGGTCAGAAGTGATTAGATACACACCATACCTTATTTTTATCAAGGGAATTAATTGCATGTTAAATCAATGGTTGTTATGGTTGCTTAACTCAGCTCGAGTTTAGTGGGAAGTAAGAGAGTGGTTTTGAGAGAGAGTAGTGAGAGAAATATTGTATCAATCCTCTCAAACTCTTCCCTTCCTATCTCCATGCTTTGAGTGAGTGACATATACTATTATCTTGCCGGAGAAGTTCGTCGGTCGAAGGGAGATCGGAGTTTCGATCAGGGGAACATTCATAATCTGAGCAGCCCAGTTTGTTGTTAGTTGTCAGTACGCGTTTGTGACAACATATGTCTGTTGAGGGAATTTTCTAGGTAATCAGCTTGTAGTTTGGGTTGAAGAATGTTGGGGTGAGAATAAGTGTTGCACCAATAAATTCTCGTACACTTATTCAAATGGGCCAACTCCCGAAGCGTAGTTATATCACAGTTAATGGCGACTTGTCAATGAAATAAATGCAGAGTCCAAAGCAATAAATAACAAGTTATTTGTTTACCCGATTCGGATATAAACCATCCTACATATGGAGGATACAATCCAGGAGATGAAATGGGGGTTGCTGAATATAAGGTGCAGCAAAAAGGAGGAGTCGTTACTACTGCTGTAATGTTTTGGTTGTCTGCTTCTGCTGTTGGAAATGTTTGTTGTTGTTTTTGGTTTTGTGGTTGTTGGAACTGTTGTTATCTCAAATTTCTAATTTGAATAGGCTGTCTGTAGCCTTATTTTACTTGTTGGCCTGTAATCTAACTTTTAACTTGATTTTTGAATTATTGGATTGCTTTGCTGAGTGTGAGAAATTATCTCATGCACAATGTGCGTGGTCACATATGTCAAAAAGGGGGAGATTGTTAAGTTGATCAAAAACTCCTTCACTTATTTTTGGCATATTGACAATACTTTTTTCTGTTGTTGTGGTCGTTAGTTACCAAAAACAACAACATTTGACTCAGCCTGTGGAGTCCATCAAGTTGTCTTTTTGTCTTTCCTAGGAATGGTGGTTGCTCAAGACAAACTGGACACTTTGAGTTTGTCCTCTTGTGGTCAGAAGTGATTAGATACACACCATACCTTGTTTGTATCAAGGGAATTAATTGCATGTCAAATCAATGGCCGTTGTGGTTGCTTAACTCAGCTCGAGTTTAGTGGGAAGTAAGAGAGTGGTTTTGAGAGAGTGTGTAGTGAGAGAAATATTGTATCAATCCTCTTAACCTCTTCCCTTCCCATCTCCATGCTTTGAGTGAGTGATATACACTATTATCTTGCCGGAGAAGTTCATTGGTCGAAGAGAGATCGGAGTTCCGATTAGGGGAACATTCAGAATCTGAGCAGCCCAGCTTGTTGTTAGTTGTCAGTACGCGTTTGTGACAACATATGCCTGTTGAGGGAATTTCCTAGGTAATCAACTTGTAGTTTGGGTTGAAGGATGTTTGGGTGTTTTGTTCTTAATCAGCACTGATTAATGAACATCTCCTGGATTGGTATCCCCCGGATGTAGGATGGTTTATATCCCAACCGGGTAAACAAATAACTTGTCATTTATTGCTTTGAACTCTGCATTTATTTCATTGACAAGTCGCCGTTAACTGTAATATAACTACGATTCGGGAGTTGGCCCATTTTAATAAGTGTACGAGAATTTATTGGTGCAACACTTATTCTCACCCCAACAGATATATCTCTATTACACAATAGTGATCTAATTTTTTTTTGCTTACATAACCATCTAATAGTTATGATCATATATATATTTTTTGACATTTTATTGGCTTGGGTGATATTTATTAAATTTATTTATAGATTTTTTTTTTATGTATTTTTGTTATAATTTTGTATATATAATAATTTTATATATATATATTCTTAAATATTTAAATAGCAGTCATACCGCTATCTGCTATCCCGCTATAGCATTTTAGATATTAACCGCTACGCACCGCTATCCATGATTGACAACTATGTCCAAAACAATAGCCTCATTTTCATTTTTGCTAATAAGCTCTCCATTTTTTTACAAAACTATCTCCACTTTTTTCACAAAATTACATAAACTATGGGCATTTTGGTCTTTTAAAAATATTTTTACACCCGCTATCAATATAATACTATTATTCCTTAATTATCGTGTCAATCTCAAATGTCCCTATTGTTTTGAGACGGAAGGAGTATTTGATTTGTGTTGGCTAAATAAATGAGCAAGAATAAGGAAAATAAATAAATTAGATTTGTTGTGTTGGTTGGATGTGTGCTTCTCCGTCCGCCTCTTTTGTTTCTTGCCAAAAGGCTTCGTTCACTTCAATTCATTACTTCATTTAGGACAACACATAGCAGTATAGCATGCCGAATCTCATCAGAATTCCAAAATTAAGCGTGTTTGGACAAAAAAGTCCTCGTATTGCACCAAAAACAAGAATTCATTTATTTGTTTTTGTAACTTCTTCGCATTAATCTTCCTTAAAATAAAAAATTAACACGTCTCGTAAATCCTCTCATTCGTTGCCCCTGTTTCTAACTTTCAATTTTCACGCATCATTTCTCGCATTATGTCCTCTCATTATCCCTTTATCGATTACTAGTATTCTCAAAAAGTTCTTTGGGTCATGGGCTATCTTTCCGAATAAAATTCCTTGGCCATTCATATCCCTCAAAGATACATTAAGCAACATTTGGCTACATTCCTTTACTTATTTTCAGGCCAAATCCAATTCTAACGCTTGAAATTTATTTAATGGTTTATGTTCAAAGGTTTAAACTTGTACGAGGTTTGAGATATAATTTTTGAATTTTAGATTTGTTATCTAGGATTTAAGTTCACTATTCTATTATGATAACTCTGACATATAATCTTTTATTAGAGTTTGAGATTTGTTATTGGGAACTTGAAGTTTGTTTTCTAATAGTTAAGATATGTTATACTTTGAGGTTGTTATTGAATTATTATTTTACTTTTTTGGCCATTTATTTAAATTAAAGTCATTGAATGACAAAATCATTTAATGGAAGGGACTAAGGATGAGTTAGATGAAATTGTGGAAAATTTATAAATGAAAATCAACCAAGATTATAAGATGTAGAACTAAAAAGATTTGGGCAAACTGTATAATTACATAAATATATAATATAGAATTTTAAAATATATTAATTTAAGTGGTTCGGAATAGGGCGAATTTGGAGAGGATTTTTTTTAACAAATCAATAACCCGCCCTTACCTAGCCGGATTTAAATACTTAAAACCTATAATCCACCCCGGATGTAATTTTTGACTCAAGACTCACCTCATTTGCAATATATAACGCCGGATTGAGGCAAAGCAAGTCTGGTCTGGATTATAAATGTCTGAAATCTAGTGCCATATAAGAACATAAAATGTGCTAGTCTTCAAAACAAAGATCAATGATGCAAATAAATCATACTAGATTAGGATGCAATAGCTGTAACATGTGTTGTCAAACATAAGATGCTATGTTTTTTTGACAATTTTGAATGATAGAAAGAGATTTTGCTACTAAATGTATTCTATAAGTAATGGCTTCTATTGATACTCTTAAATATGTATACTCTTTAACTACTAGTGACGAGAAAAACTATGTACGTATACTCTTACATAGACATAATTACAGAGTTAAAATACAAAGAACTAAATGCTTGGTGCCCAGCAACTAAAATTGCCAATGAAGGTGGTAAAAATCGAGTCTTTATGCCTAGAAGAAACTTATGTTTGGCTATGTTTGATGTTTTCAAGACTTTAATTTCCTAGGTTCTTAGATGAAGTAAATCTACCCATGAAAACTATGTTATCTCATGGTAAATGGGGTTTTCCAAGTTTGTTGTCACCTACAAAGGACAGAGAATGATTAACATTTCCACAAAGGATTCATTATTCGACAAAGATGGGAATGGGAGTGTCGAACTGGATGAACTAACAGCAGCTTTAGCTGAGGAATCATCAAGAAAACCAGATCTTGATATAAACAACAACAGCAATATGCAGGAAGTCGGCCCTGATAAGGTTCGAACAATTTCCCTATATTCATCTTTTGCTAATTAGCTTCCCTTTCATTCAATAACTCATTATTAAAATTGGGCTCTACGAGAATTCGGGTTATAATGAAAACTAGAAACAACTGGAGAAAAATTGAACCTTAATCTAATGAAAGACAGCTCCGAATTCCTACAACTCCAAGATCAACTAACCATCTAGCTTGAAAGTTTCGAATTCTTGCAGTCATGGAAATATCCAGTTTGTGTGTAAGCAATGTAGGATATGTGTGACTTCTTCCACTAGGATCTATTGGCAAATTGATTTCATGAAAATTCATTTATTCATGTGCATTTGCAGATTTATAGAACATCAGCATAAATTCAATGAAGTATGAAGCACATAGCATAGATAAATATGGAGTTGGGGAAGAGTACACTACTGACCTTACAGAGAAGCTGACGCCGATCTCCAAAACTCAACCGGCTTCCGATGCTGATCGATCGGCATCTTCGATCTAACCGAATCAATCAGAGCGAAATCAATGTCTGCAACAGCAATACCGGTGGATAATCGATCAGGTAATCTTCCGATTACTTTCCCCCAAGGATCGATAATTAGGGTTTCGCCGTAGCTTTCTCTGTTCTCGGAGTGCTTCCCAGCCTGCGACGCCGCAATCACGTAGCACTGCGTCTCGATCGCCCGTGCGCGGAGGAGGATTTCCCAGTGCGCCTCCCCGGTGACTTTTGTGAACGCCGACGGCACCAGAAGCACCTGCGCGCCGCGGTGGAAACGCAGCTGCTGATAAAGCTCCGGAAACCTCAAATCGTAGCACACGGTGAGGCCGAGGCGTCCGAACGGGGTATCCACCGCGACGATCTCGTTTCCGCCTTCGGTAAAGCTGCTCTCCTTGTACACCGCTCCGCCGGGGACGTCGACATCGAACAAGTGCATCTTCCGGTAAGTCGTTACGATATTCCCCGCATCGTCGACCAACACGTGCGTGTTGCGCAGGTGCGAATCATCAGATCCTCTCTCCTGAAACCCCCCCAGCGACAGCCACATGCTCGATTCCCTCGCGATTGCGCAGTATCTCTGCATAGTCGGTCCGTTCAACGGCTCGGCGATGGACAAACTGTCGCCGGTTTTAGCGCCAAAGTATGAGAAATTCTCGGGAAAACAGAGCAATTTGGCGCCGGCGGCAGCCGCTTCCTTGACGAGACGAGAGCAGGTAGCAAAGTTGGCGGAAAGGTCGTTGACGGAGGTCATCTGAGCGGCGGCGATTCTGACGGTGTTGGCCATGGCTGCGGATTCAGTCAGTGGGGTCGTCAATCGTAGCAGTCAGGTGTGCACAGTCGCATCGCCCTAAACGGAGCTGAGTGAGAGTGAACGTATCCGGGTCGACCCAAACTCCGGATCCGAATCCGGATGTATGCTAGATTTTTTGGATCTAGTCAACTATGAAATTATGACTGAGTGAGGATTCTTGATGTATTAAAATTATTTGTTTTGTGTTTGGTTTTAAAGGAAAATATTTTGACGCAAAGTAGTATTATAAAATATGATGTTAAATGGTTATAATTTTTAAATATAAATTTAAATACAATCAAATACATGTTAATATATACTATATTTTTAATATTATACGTATAATTATAAATGTTAAGTTTAAGTTCATGACGTCATATTCTGACTCTTGCATCAAATTCAAATAAAATTTTAAATTAGATAATTAAAAATATTTTAGAAGATCATCTATTTGTAATTGCTTCAAACTATTATCATCATATTCTTTAATATAATAAAGCACCGCAATAATTTTTGAAAAAAATAAAATAAAAAATTAAATATTTTGTAATAAGAATCCAAAGTGTACATTTTGCACGAATAAGAATGAGTTCTTGATTAAATCCTCTCTCAATTTCAATTTCACATTTATTAATAACTTCTTGTATTCTATCTTTTTTTTTTTAATTATATCTTTTTATTATGCATAAAGAGTAAACTATGTTTATAATTGTTGCTAACATGTCAAAAAAGTTTTTAACGTCATTATGATTTCTTGCAACAATAACGAATCTGAAAGGAACATGTTGGAGTCGCATAATGAGTTGATGAAGTTGGTAGAGTCGGATGATGAAGGTCTGAAAAGACATCCTTTTCGTAGTTTTTGTGCAGTAGATTTATTTCAACTTAAGTTTGAAATAAGAATAAGGTTCGCAAGTAGGAATGAGATTAAAGACGCGATAAATTCATATGCAGTGGTGAACCAGAGAGAAGTTAGATTTCCTCCGATCGATAAGAAGAAATTGTATGTTGTTTGTGGGGATGCAAATTATAAATGGAAGATTTATGGCCGGGCATAGGTTTTGAAATATCTATTTTTCACGATGAACACATATATGATGAGCGGTTTAATGTAAAGAATATGAAGACTAAGTTGTTGAATGAGAAGTATGTGAAAAAGTTTAAATCAGACTCCAAAAGAGCAATGAAAGGTTTTCATATAGATGTCATCAATGAGTTGCGTGTAAACATAACCAAAGACATGACATATCGCGCGAAAAAAGAGAACATTAAAGCAATTAGAAGGTGATGCAGCTCAAGAATGCAATAGATTATGGAATTATGCTAATGCATTGAGATAGGCCAATCCAGGTTCGATGTTGGTGTTGGGTACCGAGGATGGGGATTTATTTGATAGAATGTACATTTGCTTGGATGCCTTGAATAGGGGCTTCCAGGCTGGTTTACAGCCATTTATTGGGGTTGATGGTTGCCATCTTCAGACAAAGTATGGTGGAGTCCTTCTTACGATTGTTGGTGTCGATCCAAACAATTTTATTTTCCCTATTGCATATGCAGCGGTTTTGAGTGAGACAAGAGAAACATGGACGTGATTTCTCACTTAGGTTAAGATGGATCTGGAAATTGAGAGCCAAGAGGTTTGTTTTATATCTGATAAGCGGAAGGGCCTGGTTAATGCCATGTTGAATGTGTTACTGGGCAAGGAGCATCGTTGTTGTGTGAGGCATTTACACAAAAACTTCATGACATGTGGGTTCAAGGGAACAGCGCTTAAGGATGCATTGTGGAAGACTGCTAGAGCAGCAACAATGGGGGAGTTTCGGGCACGGATACAAGGAGTGAAAGATCTCGATCCTAAGGCTTGGGGGTGGCTAGAATGGAAGCCCGGAGGGGAGTGGACAAAATCGCATTTTCAGCTCTTCTCAAAATGTGATCTTCTCGTGAATAATTTGTGCAAAAGTTTCAATAATTGTATTCCAGATGCAAGGGATAGACATATAATTACGATGTTTGAGGATATAAGGGTGTATTTGATGAAACGGCTACAGGAGCATCAAGACCGTGCATTGCGCAATTGGGAAAACATGGAGATTTGCCCTAAAATTATGAAGTTACTTCGAAGGAACAGAGAGAATGCGGGGAATGTATTCCGATCAAATCCAACGACAGGAACTACCAAATTTCTTGTGCTGATGGGAGCCAACATAGTTTCGATTGGAAGAGAAGACATGTACTTGTCGACGGTGGCAAGTTAAGTGGCATTCCATGTCAACATGCAATTTCCGCGATTGGAAAACAAGGATCAAATACAGTGACCTATGTTGACCGTTGTTACTCAGTGGATTCATACAATCAGATTTACACATTCTCCATAAAAACGGTGAGCAACGAGTTATTCTAGAAGCCAACCAATATTCCTCCCTCCTCCAAACCACCAGCAGTGCGCCGAAATGTAGGCAGACCAAAGAAGCAGTGGTGATATGAGCCAAGAAAAGGCAAAAAAAGGTTGTGCGCTCGAAGGAATGGACATTGATCCTTAAAAGGACGCAAACAACAATTAAGTGCGGGACTTGTGGCACTGCAGACCATAACTTCACACTGTGTCCTACATGCCACCTAGATGAGGTAGACACGTAACCTCATATATCTTTCAATGTTTCTATAATTGTACCTTTTCTTTTGGAACTAACCAATGATATACCTTATAGAATTCCACCTAGGATGAGAATGCTCAAAACACAGACAATCCAGATGTGTCATTGCGGAGAAGTGTATGTGTCGTTGTAGACGACTTTTGTGTTGTTCCATTGACGTAAACACGGTGTGTTTTCGACATATATTTATATTTTCAGATAAGAGCCCAGAATATTGCCTTATGAACATCGTCCAACAAGTCAATGAGAAGTTCTATGAGAGAGTGCGTGCGTCCGATAAGAGTTGAGAGCAAAACTATTGAGGTAAGTCCATCATCCTATAACATTCAACTTAATAAGAATATTCTTAAAAATAGGTATAACCATGTTATTAAATGCAGCCAACGCTTGACGAACTAAACCCAAGCTAAGCACCAGTAGAAGTTGTTACACAAGAGTCCATTACACGTGATAGTCCTCGTTTGGTACAATTGTTTACTCTATTACATATTTATGTATATATCAGTCAATTCTATTATATGAATAATCTTCTGTACCGACTTATTACACTTGACAGAAAAAATGTAAGGGCAAGGGACCTGTAGAACGCAAGGATAGTCAGCAGGTTCAACCCAGGCATAGCGTAAGTGATCTTTTATTTGTTATGCGAATTTAATACACATTTAGCCTGAACTCTTGCATTTCTAGGCAAGAGTGTAGAGGGAGGACCAACCTGTCAAGGAACATCTTGCGTAGGCCTAAGTTGAAGCTCCTCCGATGATGCCAACTAAAAAAAATCTTGTGTCGATGCCACCACAAAAAAGTGTGAGTGAATGCCTTATATATTCAATTATGCATATATATGAACACTGTCATTCGATCAATTGACCAAGTAGAACTTAGATGAATACACCTTGCACAGTTAAGGCATTTATCAAAGTCTCAACCATCGGCTTCGATACAAAGTGTAGATGCCCAGTCCTAAACAGTAAGAAGATTGTTCGTTTCATCTATGGTACATAAATAAATATTATGTTTTTTAGCCATTCAAAAAGTTAATTCCTTCAAGTGATGGCTTCGATGGACGTCCAGCCTCTACCGCCACCTACCATGTTCGAATAATTTCAGCTCTCTCGTGACCATATAACCTAAGCGCACATTCTACTCCCGTGCAGAACACTTCATGGAATGAGTTACTGGCATACGTGCGTCACAGGGAGTTGTCGAAACTTTTCAAGCAAGGAAAAAAATTTGATAGGCAACATAGCATCCAACTTCATAGAAATAAAAAAAAAAATTAGTATGCATGGTCTTGATGGATGCCTACGAGAAAGATTGATCAATATTTTGATATTTAGTGTTAAATAACTATCTCCATGGTCTGTGGTATTGAGTTTTGCCCAATCTTTTGACTATACTCGGTATTTGTGTTTGTTGATCGATATGTATTTACTTTGCAATATTAGTATATTTCGACTGTGGGACGGATTTCTTTATTTTTTTCATTACTAATTAGGAGTACAACGACCAAATGCCAAAAAACAAAATGTCAGCAAGTATTATAATTGTTAACCAGTATGTTACACAAATTATACTACAATTAGAGTGATCCGTGCACCAAAATTTAATACACAATTCCTACTTACATCCGAACATCCAAAATTTTGAGTTTGCTACCGCCTCAAAAAACAAAAAAACAGTTACATGACACACTAGTACCATAACTAGGTAGGAAACTACCCAAAAGGCAATATGGCTTAACATGATTAGTGCTTGCATGTCCACGCAAAGATGACAACAACCACAGCGAGCCATAAGGCAAACATTTTCCGTTGCTTTCTCACTTGTTCCTTCAGCATATTGATTTGTGTATCGCGATTGTTCATCTTCTTTAACAATCCGGGGATGATATATTTCGTTCGATGACACATCGGAGGGTCCTCCCATCGAAAAAACCCACAACCAGCTCGGGTCCCTTGTACAAAATACTTGAACATCAATTCCATTGTAAAAATATATCTTACAAAAATGATCAAATAACAACCTTCGAATTATACAACAACTGAACCTCTTCCCCGGATTTTCATCCGTCTATGAAGTACGAACAACCGCTTTAATTCCACAGTAGCAGTTGACAACACCATCAGTTGAAAACATCCTACATTTGACATTACAAGAAAAAATTAGTTACTTTGAACACATCCAACCCAATAAATAACACATAATGCAAAACTCCAACAACTTACAAGCAAACCTCAACGGAGACATCCCACACACCATATTTTGTATACAAACATCCACGAATATACAAAAAAGTTACCAACATAATTTTCGCTATTTTCCATTTCGAACTAGACGCCGGTGTAGGATTGTACGGTCGTGCGGTGGTCTGATCGCCGGCGGGAAGCTAGCCAAACGACAACGGCCGGCGATCCGTGGACGAGAGGAAGGTTCGTGAGCGAGAGAAGGATTCACGATCGACGAGGGAGAAAGGAACTAGGGCTCGACGGTATGAGTGTGTTCTAATTAAATTTGTTAAATTTTGTAATTTGATCATTGGACCAAAGTCAAAATTTAATTTTATTTCAAAAATACCCAGTCATCGCCGGAATAGTACCACGGGACGTACATGTCACCTTCAGTTTGGGACAGCTCAGCGATGGAGAAGACACATCATCCCATGTGCAGGTCACGTGCAAGATTCCGACATCGAATGATATAAAGAACGAATTTTATTCACTTATAATCACGTGCAAAATTTCGACGTCGAATGATATAAAGAACGAATTTTATCCACTTATAGTCCTATTTTCAAAATATAAAAAATTAATGTTTGAAAATTTTAATAGACTTACAAAAATTATAATTTTTCCTATTCTAATAGTATCTAGTGGTACTTTTTATATGTAAAAATTATAACTCTATTCATCAATTCTTTTTATTTTTTTTTTAAGTTACAAAAATGACATCAAATCTTTAATTTTTTATTATTCTCAATTTTTTATTTTTTGTATTCAACTTCCAAAAGTTTGGTTGTTTTTTTTAAAGTTTACCTTTATTTTTATTTTTAAATTATCAAATTAAATTTTTATTATTTATTTTTATATTATTCTAAAACTTACTTATTATATTCAAATAAGATATGAGACTTCTATTTTTTTTATGTTATATTAAAAATAATTTTTATATTCAAAATATTAAAATATTATATAAATTTTTATATATATTACATCAATAATTATTTATTTATTTTTTATTTATTTAAAACTCAAACACAAAACCAAATAGTAAACAAACACATCCATCTAAAGAGAGCCATTGTAACTGCAATGAAATCATATGTATTTAACAAAATAATTGTATCATTTGCATCTGAACAATAGAAAATAGAAAAGAGTATTTCAACAAAAATATTTTTTTTTCCACATGTATATAGACACATTGATATCATATATATATATATACTCTACACTCACAAAATATTTAATAATTTAACATAAAATATTACTGTTAAGCACAAAAAATAATAATAAATAATGGCAGTAGGATTCTGGATGGGTTTGAATATAAGCCAAATGGCCCAGAAGTCGGGCAAAAGAAAGTCGGACAAGGAAGGATGATCGGCCGATACGGAGGTCAGACAGGACAAGGTTGAGCACAGAGATCGGGTGTAATAAGGTCGTGTGCGAAGCCCAGGTATGATAAGGTCGGGTGCGGAGCTCAGGAATGATAAGGTCGGGCAAAACAGAAGTATCGGCAGACGCGGAGGTCTATCAAGACGAAGGAGTATGGTCGGTTGGTTCGCTGTCAGATGGTCCGTAGTCGGTTGGCCCGCGGTCGGACCTAATGAGGTCAGACGGAGAACGACAGATATAGAGGTCGGTCGAAACAGGAAGTCGGGCGAAGAAGGTCGGCTGATACTGAGGTCAGTCGAAACAGGGTCTGTTAATTGGTTGCCTACTTAAGTAAACAGTAGTTCAGTCGCTTGGTTGGGGTGACTATTAAATCGTCTGGATGATTCGTTGTTCAGCCGCTTGGAGAAATCAGATGGTGGTCGCTTGATGGGGCGGCCGATGAGTCGTTTGATCTAGCGACCAGTCTTAGAAGCCAGAGGTTATTGCCTGGGCGGTTGAGTAGTCGGTCGGGACAGCCGCCCATTTAAGACGGTGAGGTCTTCAGAGGCGGTCGGCTGAGACAGTTGAGTGCTGTAACTGGTGTGAGCGGTTGGTGAATCGATTAACACACATATCGACAGAAGAGGACTTTTTGGGCGGTTGACAGCGGTTGCTGTAACCAACCAGACGGCGGTTCAAACCGTTTCTTTAAAGGGTTTTAAATAGGTCTGTTCCTGACCTAAGAAACCATCTTCAATCGACATAAAATTCAAGAGAATTGCTTTTGGGGATCACCACTTTATTTTCCCGTCTGTATTTTATATTTTCCTATTTTATTTATGTATTCTACAGTGTTTAGAGATTCATAATATCATATACTAAATATATCAAATTCGAAGATAATTTTCTATTTTCGAATTTTAATTTTTATTGTTGAAAAATTACATCAGCAATTACTAATTCATTTACCTAATTTATATTTATTTTTTATTTGCCCACAAAAATAGGTAGTAATCAGTCTCTTCATTCAACATTTTTCAATAAACAATTTTTAATAAATATTATTAAAAAATATAAATATACACACACATTAATATAATATATAATATTTACTCATAAAAAATTAATCATTCAACACAAAATATTATTTTTTTATAATATCAACACAAAATATTATTTTTTTTATAGTATCAGCACGGTTTTTTATATTACATAAAAAAATCAATTTATCTAAAAATACTTAATGAACAATCTGATTATATTTATAGCAAATAATTAATTAATTTATATTTTTCAACATTACATATATGAAATAACTATTTATACACCAAATATTTTTTGGAAACTTAAATCATACTATTATTAACTCCTGGTATATTTTTCTAAATATAGATACTTAATGTCATAGTCAATCAATATAATGTCATATTCATTAAAACATATATTCAACTAAAATAAACATATATTTTGTGAATAAAAAGTAAATAAAAAAAACACTTCAAACTAAAAAAAAGAAAAAAAAAAGAAAAGAAAAATACATCTATATTTTGTTTCAAGGTTTGAATTTATATTTTCAATAGTACTCTCCCCGTCTCACATATCATGTCCATATTGCCGTTTCTCTTCATCCCACATTCCATGTCACTTTTCTTTTCTGAAAAATGATTATACACTTTAATCTCATTTTAAACTGTTTTTTTTTTATTTTTTATTTTAATTAAACTAATTAGTTATCTTAATTTTAATTTATAATTATTTATATTATAGGATAATTATTTTCACTAATATATTCTTAATTATCTATTAATTACACCCCTCATAAAATACCGTGTTTACAGTGTAGCAGACATGGTATGTGGGACGGAGGAGTAATATTTTAAATTATACTACCCTTGTCCCGTATAAAAAGTGTTATTTATTTATTTTTTTTCACGTAAATTTTTATATTAGTATTATATTGATTTGTAGTAAAAAAAATAAAATTATTCCTATTAATATGGTATAATATAAAAAATAATACAATTTGTATAATAACTTATAAGTTGTCAAGATATTTATTAAGTTAGTTAGATAGTATAATTAGAAATAATACATTTATTTTGAGATGAACAAAAATAGAAATAATATCTTTTTACGAGTAGTTCAATTATTTAATTTAATATAAATAATATTAATATAATATTTTAAATATATAATTAATTTTAATATAATATTTTTGATAAATTTATCAATCTAAACCTATTTAACAAATATAAAATATATTTTTTATTTATTTATATTATATAAAATTTTATTTTATACTAAATGATATTTATATTTAATATAATTTATTGAAATATAATATTAAAAATATTTAAATATATATTATAAAAAATTTTAATAATTAAATAATTAATTCCTACTATCTAAATTACTAAATTTATACTACTCCATAACTTACTAGAATCAATTTACTAAACTCAATTATGTTAAATACAATATCACTAACTAAATGCGTTAACTCTTCCGAAAGTACTCTATCTGTCCCAAAACTATGGTCTTATTTGAGTTGGACACGAAATTATATGAATATTAATATTATATTGATAGTTGGTAAAAAGTATGAGTAAAAGACTTTCTTGCCCTTGTGACTGTATTAGTGTAAAAAGTAGTGACAACTGTGTAATAATAATGAAAATGTAGGGATAATTTTATGGTGATATGAGTATATATGAAAACAAGAATATTGTTTTGTGACGAACAAAAATAGTAAAAGAGACTATTATATTGGGATGTAGGGAGTAGTATTTATCTTTGGTAACCTCACATCAAATATCCCACTTTTTACGCTTACATTCATTTGTGTTTTTTCTCTTTTAATATACCCCTTATAACAAAGTATTTATTTTTCCATTTTAGTTCGTCCCATAACAAAGTATTTATTTCTTTTTTTAGTAACCGTACTATCTAGCTAACATTACAAATACCCTTACAACTTACAATATATTATACAAATGTCATTACATTTATATCACATATACTAATAAGGTTATTTTAGTCATTTCTACTTTGTTCCTACTATATAATATTTCTAAAATTACGTGCAAAAAATAAATAAATATTTACTTATGGGACGAAGGAAGTACTTAAATTCTTATATCTAAACAAAAAAATTCATCTGTGCCGAGACGAAAAGAATATTATAAAAAATAAATAATAGTAGCTAATAAATTTAATACTCTTAAAGAGAAATAAATTATAGAAATATATACTCCCTCTGTTCCATAACTAAATATCCATTTATTGTTTGCACGTAGTTTTAAAAATATTAGTATTATATTGAGATGTAGTAAGAATAAAGTAAAAATGTCTAAAATACCCCTATTAGTATGTGTGATATAAAGGTATTACATTTGTGTAATATATTGTAAGTTGTAAGAGTATTTATAATGTTAGATAGACAGTTACTTAAAAAAAAGGAAATTGATACTTTGTTATGGGGCGGACTAAAATGGAAAAACAGATACTTTGTTATGGGACGGAGGAAGTATATTTTTTAAAATAATCTTCAAAATACAGAAAAAAAAAAGCATATAAAATATTCTAATATTGAAAGATTCATTTCTTTATTTTTTTTATATTTTTAAAAATATCATATAAAACTTATGTAAACAACACACATATCCATAATAACCACCTTTATTTTTATTATTATAATATTTTTCGTTATAATTAGTAAGGAAAAAAAAAAAGCAAAATAAATAAAACACCTATAATATAAATGGCGCCTTAGATCAATCTCTTCTGCGATCTCTGCTCGTCAGAGGTATTTTCGGGTTCCCATTTTGCTTTTCAGGTGAATTTATCTCAATTTCTTCTCCTTCTTCCTATTACTGCTCTTCATTTGCTTGCGCTTGCACGATTGAAGTTCACGTTGAGTGCTCTTTTTGTTTGTTTGTTTGTTAGATTGCTTTAATTTCGTTGAATCGGTAAACTGCAAAATTTGACGGGTCTAGGAATGTTTGTTGATAATGCTCATGGAATTGCGGGCTGATTGCTTTCTTCTTTCGTCTTGTCTGTCTAAAATAGATCTGATTTTCCAGTCGCAACTAGTTGAGATACGGGCCTGATCGGAAGCAATTTGTTTTACTTTTTTCAATGTGACTGAATATCTTGCGATTAATAGCTCTGTTTATGTATTGAGTGTGCTTTTTAAGGAGATTTTGCGTGTTTCGTGTAATTCTATGAAGTTATTGATGGAGTTTTGATGTTTGAGACTGTTCACAGGAACCGATAGGGTCAGTAGTTGAGGACTATATAGAACGGGAGTAACATTTTTGGTGATGTCTTTTGACGGAGCTGAGAAGCAATGGAAATGTGTGAAGGGAGGCCCAGTTAATTTCCACAAAGTGAGTTCGATTGTTCGCGATATTGGAGAGCCATGTCTTCATCAATCACCTATGAAGGTTGTGTCTGCAGTAAGAATCTGCTGACCATTTCTGTTGCTCTTTCCCACCTATAATGTGGCATGAAACCTATCTATATTAAGCAATGAGATCTTATCAGTAATGTACTCAGGTTGAGGTTGTCCCATTTCAAATGGGAGGACTGATTCATTAATATTTTACGATGTCAATTGTTAAATTCTGAGGGTTTATTTTTATATTTTTTCTGAAGGGAGGAATTGTTTTGTATGTCTTATGGACATCTGGTTGTGGGGTAACATGATATTCTGGTGGTGTTGTAATGGCTTTTATGGAATACAGGATAAAATGTAGCTCTTTCAAAGAAAACCGCACTAATAAAGTCTTTCTCTTTGATTTACTGATTAAAACTCTTGGCTTTATCTAATGTATCGGCCCCGAATTATGTGATCATGATCTCTTAAACAATTAGCTGTAATTACTAGTTATGTATGACCATAATACTGTTACTTCCATCTAAGAAGGCTTTCCACATAATTCTATATGTATCCATGAGACTGAGTATGTAATTTTTTGTACCAAATTTTATTTTGAGTGTATAGATGGTTTCTCATAGTTGTAGTGATCGTAGGAAAATGGTGTCCGTTTATGTCATTTCTACTTCTGAATGTTAATTCCTGCCTAAATATTAAGCCAGTTTGTAATGCTCGGAAGAAAACTAATAATGTACAATTGGCAAATAATGTTCTGCTTCATTATGCAAATAAAATGTTGGTATATAGTCTTTGTTATTCTACTTCAGTGTTGCTTATTTCCGAGAAGATTATTATTGTTTTATTATTCAATGAATATCTATGTGAGACTTTTCTTTGATTTTTAAATTCTTAGATCAACAAAATGCTCAAGCCAGACAAGTGGCAGGCAACCTTTGACAGTGAAGGAAAGATTTATGGTTTTCATAAAGTGTTGAAATTGATTATTCTTGGGGTGAGTGATCTTATAACAGAATTCCATCTTTGGTTTTGTTTTTTTTTTTTTGTTTTCATGCTATAATTTTTGCGGAGTTTGAATTCATTATCCTGTTCATATCATTAACTTTCTGCTATCTTTCTGTTAATTCTTTCAATCAATGCTGTCCTATATAATATCTTAAGGTTGCTACTGTTTCACTTATGTTTTTCTGTCCTTAAGTCAAAGTTTAGTGGTTGTCTTTCACATGCGTATACTAAGAAATGTTCAGGTGGTTTGTATGACATTTATGTATGCTTAAATTTTTGTATGACTAATTAGATAGGCTGTCATTAGCACAATGTGGATAATTTTTCTTAAATAGTAAAGTATGCAGGACAAAAATTAATGGCACAGACATACAGTAATATCCTTATGTGTGTAATTGGTTTCATAACTTTAAATCACAAATGGTTAAAAATCAAAGTAGTGACTTTCCTCTCAAGCAGCTAATTATTTTATTTTGTACGTTTGTTCTGAGTATTGGGCTGCTGCATGATCCAAAAGCCTGAATTCAAGTTACATAAACTGCTTTGTTGAAGCTTATGGTAGGACAATGGTGTGTGTAACGTAGTTAGATGGTGGGATACTTGGTAATAAGAAGTTATAGAATAAACTAATGATTGATACCCCAATAATTGGGCCCATACACTAGTCCAAATACACCAGTCTAGTCAGATTGGTTTAGATCCTGAGAGGGGAAATCTCAAGATAAGAGCATTATTGCCACACATAAAAAACTTCACTATTCCTGGCTTTGCACTCGAGATAAGTGGCATCAATTGATGAATAAGGTTTTCACTTGAAGGGAAGCATGCCCTTGATATCTCCCATTGGTTATGAAGTAGGTCAAAATATGCACTGAGGAGACTATAATGGCTGAAGATGATGGATAGGGGAAAGAATATGCGAACTATGTATCCTTGACCTTGAGATTGTAGAACTTCCGTGACCAATAAGTCCCTGCCCAACAACTTCCAAATGGAAGTGTTTATTGTTAAGTGTAGGCTTCTTTAGGTATTTAACCCTAATGGGCTTAAGAGTTTGGGCCCAATTGTTATTAACTTTTAACCTAGTCTATAAATACCCCCACTTGTACTTGTAAAAATATAGCCGCTTCATATTACAGTAATAAGAAAAGCTTCTTGGTTGCTCTCGTGGATATAGGTCAATAACCTTTATCGGCCGAACGAACCACGTAATCCTTTGTGTTCTATTTTCTTGTTTGTGTGCGTGTGTAAGAGTTAATCCTATAAAGTGGTTCAGAGCGAGGTTCTTCACACGAGTCACACTTGTTCAAGAACAGCAGAACAGACCACAATCAGAGTAGGACAGCAAGACACGTCAGACGGGTCAGATCCGTCAGTCCCGTCAGCGCGTCAGATCCCGGAAGAGCGTCGCACAGTCTACTTGGCAGCCCTGATCGCCGACAGCACGCTGCAAATCTGATCAGACGCATCTCGCAAATTGCAGAATTTGTATTTGCATGATTAAATCATATCTGAGGACGGAAAGATCAAGATTGATAAGTTCGACGGAAAAGATTTTGGTTGGTGGAAGGTGTAAGTCGAGGATTTGCTTTGCCAGAAGGATCTGGATTTGCTTTTGACCGGAAGACAACCTGAGAAGATAAGCGATGATGAATGGACAATCCTTAACAAGAAAACCCTGTCAGCTATCAAATCTACGCTAGCAAAAAACGTTGGACTCACCATTCTGAAGGAGACTACCGCATATGGGCTGATGAAGATGTTGACAAACATGTACGAGAAGCCATCTGCTTCCAACAAGGTATTTTTGATAAGACAATTTATGAATACGAGAATGAAAGAAGGTGTGTCTGTTACATCGCATATAAACGAATTCAATAATATAATATCCCGGTTGTTGTCGGTGAATATTAAGTTTGATGATGAAGTTCAGGCTTTGCTCTTGTTATCCTAATTACCTGAAAGTTGGTCAGGAACAGTCACAGCGGTTAGTAGTTCAGCAGGAAATTCTAAACTCACTTTTGACGGCATTCGTGACTTGATCATTGGAGAGGATATATGAAGGCGAAACTCAGGTGAAACTTCAAGCGTCCTGTTAAGCATGGAAAAAAGAGGCAGAAAGAAAGAAAGAAAAGGGAAATGGCAGAGGACGATCAAATTCCAGAAAGAGGGGTCAGTCAAAGCCAATGAAGGACATTCAATGCTGGAATTGTAAAGAGTATGGGCACTTTAGAAATCACTGCTCAAAACCGTCAGAGCAAAATGAGGTGAATGCCACTGTAGACAACTCAGACGATGCACTCATTTGCTGTGTTGAGAATTCAATTGAGTCGTGGATTATGGATTATGGTGCATCATTCCATGCTACTTTTAGCACGAAGACGATGAAGAATCTACGGACAGGTAACTTTGGTAAAGTTCGTTTGGCTAATAACGACTTTCTTGACATCACAGGGATGGGTGACATAGATCTAAAGACTCCTTCGGACACGATCTGGACGTTGAAGGACGTTAGGGTAATCCCTAATCTTAAGAAAATGCTCATCTCCATTGGGCAGCTGGATGATCAGGGATATAACGTCACGTTTGGAGGAGGGCAATGGAGAATCGTCAAAGGCAATCTCATAATTGCCAGAGGCAAGAAGAGAGGTACTCTATACATGGCCGATGTCTCTGAAAATGAAGCGAATGCAGTAACCAACAAGCAAAGTCTATCTGTTTTGTGGCACCAACGACTTGGCCACATTAGCATAAAAAGAACGAAGATGTGTGTCGCAAGAGGAAAACTTCCAGATCTAAAGAGGGTGGATTCCGAGTTTTGTGAGCCCTGTGTGCTTGGCAAGAAAAAGAAAGTTTCTTTTGCAAAGACAGGGCAGACACGGAAAGCTCAAAAGTTGGAATTAGTTCACTCTGATGTCTATGGACCAACACCAGTCTTTTCCTTTGGCGGATCAAACTAATATGTAACGTTCATTGATGATTCAACACGAAAGGTACGGGTCTATTTTTTAAAAAACAAGTATGAAGTTTTCAATACTTTCAAGAAATGGAAGACTGTTGTTGAATTAGAAAATAACTTGAAGGTGAAGTGCTTGAAATCGGATAATGGAGGTGAATACATCAGCACAGAGTTCACCGAGTATTGTGCTGAATACGGGATCCGGATGATCAAAACTGTCCCAGACACTCCTCAGCAGAACAAAGTGGCAGAAAGGATGAATAGAACACTGAATGAGAGGGCCAGAAGCATGAGATTGAATGTTGGACTTCCAAAGGCGTTCTGGGCCGATGCAGTTAACACTGCTGCCTATCTTATCAACCGAGGACCATCAGTGCCATTGGGTTTCAAGATACCCAAAGAAGAGTGGAAAAGAGAAACAGTAAAGTATGAACACTTGAGAGTGTTCGGATGCAGTGCCTATGATCTGACAAGAGATGGTGACAAGTTTGATGCCAAGGCCAGAAAATACACCTTCATCGGATACGGAGGAGACAAGATGGGCTATCGGCTATGGGACTTTGAAAGTAAAAAGGTTGTCAGAAGCAAGTATGCCACATTCAATGAGGCTGAACTTTTCAAAAACAGAAGCACAGAAAGTCCAAAAGTTGCGAAAGAACAGGTTGAGTTCGACAGTGATGTTATCGGAACCAGAGAGTCAGTGGGTTCTCAAGACAGTGGGAGTCAGGAGAATGAATCCAGTACTGACGAGTTTAAAGGCAATCAAGGGGGCTTTGTTGACAGTGAGATTTTGGAGGAGGAAGGACCTCATTCACCAATGCAGCCGCAACCAACCAAGTCCCAATGGGTCAGGAGATCCATTAGAGTTACCAAACCTCCAGCGAGATATGATCCTAGTGTAAACTATCTCCTTCTGACTGAAAATGGTGAACTAGAAAATTATCCAGCGAGATATGATCCTAGTGTAAACTATCTCCTTCTGACTGAAAATGGTGAACTAGAAAATTATCATGAAACAGTTAAGCAGAATGATTCGATTAAGTGGAGCAGGTCATGAAAGAAGAGACGAGTTCCTTGCACAAAAACAAGACATGGATTTTGACTAAACTTTCTTCTGACAATGAGGCACTTCAAAATAAACGGGTATTCAAAATCAAGGATGAACCAGATGGGTCGAAAAGGTACAAAGCTCGCTTAGTGGTTAAAGGATTTCAACGGAAAAAAAAGAGTAGACTACACTGAAATCTTCTCTCCACTAGTAAGGATGACCATTATCAGATTGGTTTTCAGTATTGTAGCTTCAGAGGGCTTACATCTAGAGCAACTGGATGTTAAGACAACATTTCTACATGGTGATCTCGATGAGAATATTTACATGGTACAACCTAAGGGGTTCCAGGTTGCTGGTAAGGAGAATTGGGTCTGCAAGCTGAAGAACAACTTATATGGTCTAAAACAAGCCCCCAGGCAATGGAACTTGAAGATCGACAACTTCATGGTGAAAATGGGGTGCAAGAGATGCGAAATGGACCATTGCTGCTATATGAAGAAGTTTAAGGATTCCTACATCATTCTACTTCTCTACGTGGATGATATATTGATAGCCGCTGCAGATATGACAAAAATCAATAAGTTAAAAGCAACAAATGTCTGAGGCATTCGAGATGAAAGACTTAGGTCCAGCCAAACAGATACTTGAGATGAGTATAATCAGAAACAAGGATGGCACTTTGACACTATCTCAGGAGAATTATATCGGGAAAGTGTTACAGAAGTTCAACATGAATAGTGAGAAGACTAAGCCGAGAAACACACCTTTGGGAAGCCACTTCAAGCTTACAAAAGATCAGTCTCCGAGAACAGACAAAGAAAAGGCAGATATGGCTAAAGTCCCTTATGCATCTGTAGTTGGTAGCCTCATGTATGCGATGGTGTGCACGAGACCAGACATTGCTCATGCAGTCGGGGTTGTTAGTCGCTACATGTCAAATCCGGGGAGAGAACATTGGGAAGCCGTCAAGTGGATACTAAGGTATTTTTAAAGGGTACTTCAAGATGAAGTTATGTGTCAGAGGCAAAGATGCGATTCTCAGAGGGTATTCAGCTGCTGATCTGGTTGGATGCAAAGAGACATTTAAGAGCACTACAGGGTACATCTTCACGGTGGGAGGAACTGCAGTTAGCTGGGTGTCTAAACTTCAGAAAAGTGTGGCGCTTTCGACAACAGAAACTGAGTATATGGAAGTTGTTGAGGCCAGCAAAGAGTTAGTTTGGCTAAAGAACTTTCTCCTGGAGTTGGATAAAAGGCAGACGGATTATTCACTACACTGTGACAATGAAAGTGCAGCAAAACTTGTCACGAACCCGGTCTATCATGGAAAAATGAAGCATATTGGGATGCGATATCACTTTATCAGAGGATTGATAAGTGAAGGGACGATGAAGTTGAAAAACATCTCAAGTGCTATGAATCCAGCAGATATGTTCACAAAGACTGTGACGCTGGACAAGCTGAAGTTATGCATGACTTCAGCTGGTCTTCATGAGAAATGATGAGAAGACCGGGACAATCAAGTGAAGTTGAGGATTTTACGGAAGTACAATAGAGCGCAGATGTTTCGAAGCCTTCAAGTGGGAGATTGTTAAGTGTAGGCTTCTTTAGGTATTTAACCTTAATGGGCTTAAGAGTTTGAGCCCAATTGTTATTGACCCTAAACCTAGTTTATAAATTCCCCCTCTTGTACTTGTGAAAATATAGCCGCCTCATATTACAGTAATAAGAAAAGCTTCTTGGTTGCCCCCGTGGACGTAGGTCGATAACCTTTATCAGCCGGACCACGTAATCCTTTGTGTTCTACTTTCTTGTTTGTGTGCGTGTGTGAGAGTTAATCCTAATATTTATTCCATGTGAAGGATTTCTCTTCCAAATAAAAGGACATGGTGTCAAATTATTAACTTTGCTAAACCCATTTGCTCGCAGCAAGAGAGACAGAAAAAAAAAGAAAAAAGGATCCTGTTCAATGTTGGTCTTCAAATTACTATGTCAGGTTCTGAGTAATATAATTCGGGTTGAAAGACTCTATAAGTTTATTTACATATCCTTTTCCCATTCAAACGGTTGAGGACACAGCTTGATATCGCAATTCCAGATCCCACCTTTTCCCAAAGTTGTAAACTAGACCTTGTTTGAAACAGTTGAGTGCAAAAACATGCCGAAATCCACTTTTAATATTCTGTAAAGAGAAGCCCAAGATTTTTCCCATAAATTGATTTACTTTCATTTCTGGCCCATAATTGAAAGTTCTTTGCCAACCCATTTATCTTCTGACACAAAGATGAACTTTGTTGTGTCTAAGCACAAGCACTAGATCAGCATTGATCAATTTTTTGAAGGGCTAGATAGAATCGATTTCAGCTTTATATTTTCCACATCCATCCTTCTTTCAGAGGACACTCGAATCCTGAAAGTGCCACACCAATGAACAAGGAGAGCTTGATTTAGTACTAGAATTGACATAAGGCCAATTCCACCAAAGATTTCCTAGTGCCGAGAGACTCTCGACAATTCTTTTTGTGCTTTACATTTTCTCTTCATCCCTTTCTTTACATAAGACATTTAAGGTAGGGTTTGGAATGTAAAAAATTGTATATTTTATCCTAACATTTACTAAGGAATACTTCATAATTGTGAACCCAGTGAAATTAAATAAGTTTGATTGTTCCATTTTCAAGACTCTGATAATGGATAGCCTTCAATGAAAGTTGAAAAATACCTTGTAGTATTATTTCTCACCTAAATATGTAAAAGTGGTATGAAAAAAGCAGTTGGAGCTTGGAATGTTGCATTATGCCCATTGACCTGACAACATTATCTGTGTATAAAGCCAATACCGATACTCAAAACACGCAAGCATTTAAGGGAGATCCTGGATTTTTTTTTTTTTTTTTATCATTTTTTTTATTATTATTTTTATTATTTTTTAGTAGAACTTTGCTAGAAGTTTTAATAGAGGTGAGCAGGTTTTGATTTGGCCATGGTTTTAGCAAAATATATATCCGATGCAGGACATGCAAACCTTTGTCATCCCCTTAATCTGACGCCAAATGAAAATTGAATGTGGGGAACTCATCTATAACTGAAGCAACCGTTGCTTATGCCATTACTGCTCTTCCTTTTAAGTATTTAACTAGAATGTTGTTTTGAATGTAATTCATGGGGTGGGAGATTTTTTCTATGTAGTTGATACTGCTCTTTTAGATTTGTGTTTTGGTGTCCTGAGTTGTGTATCTGTTTTTCACGCCTCAGTAAATTCTTTGTGTATCCTCAGAAAACATGGGACAGGTTTTGACAATTTCCTATCCTAGCATTCTACATGTGAAAATCTAATATTTTGTTTGCTTAAGTTCCATTATTGTTTGGCAGGGTGTGGATCCATCCATAAGACCTGAAGTTTGGGAATTTCTTTTGGGTTGTTATTCTTTGAGTAGCACTTCTGAATATCGGAGGCAATTAAGGACAGCTAGAAGGTGCAATTATTCTACTTGCTTCTTTAATTCAAGTACTTCCTAATGATTGTTTTGTATCTCTGCTACAGATGACTTTAAATGAAAGTGCTATTATCATTGATTCAGACTATTAATCTTGATAATGTTGATCACAGTATTTATCTTTACAAGAACTTTCATGTCTTGCAAAGAAAATTAATGAACTTTTTATTTTATTTGTTGATATTAAAATAATGAAAACACGGATGTGAATATGGTTTAAATATTGCAGACTAAATGAAAATTATTAGTTGGCTGAGGTACAATATATTGGCCATGGGAAGTTGTGGATTATGTATATAAAGATGTTATGTACTAACTTTTTGGAGGGTAAAGTAACACCTAAACATTGGTATATCTCTTGACTTACTGATTTTTTGTTTCCAATCTCTATCCCAGTTCATCTGTGATATGTTTAAATGATTCAGTTGCCCTTGACCCCAATAAGATATTTCTCTGCTATCTGTTTGGCTGAAACTTTGTTCTCTGTTTTCCTTTGTTGGCAGCCATTATTTATACTGTATTTTTCTTTACAAACAATGAATCTTGAAATTTCTTAATTTTAGACGCTATTATGGGATGCCATCCTGTATCTTCTAGTCCTGCTAGTTGATTAACTGCAAATAGCTTTACAGGGAACGGTATAGAGACCTTGTAAAGCAATGTCAACTGATGCACCCTAGCATAGGTACTGGTTCTCTAGCCTTTGTTGGGTCTAAAGTCATGGACATGAGGATGAGCTCCAAAGACGATGGAACAAGACCCTCAGAAGTCCAAAGTGGACAGAAATCAGAAGCATGTAAAGAAATAGATGATAACGGAGTTGTGAATAGAAAATGTGCCGATACATCTTATATAAATCAAGAACAAAGATATAGTGATTTTTCTGACCTTGTAACTGTACGGGAAAGTACGATGGGAGGAGCATATGATTCTTCTGGTCCTCTACCTTCTGAGCCATGCAATGGTAGTTTGGCAGATGCTCATGGCACACACAAGTTGGATGTTGCCGCTGAAAGTTTCTTGGATTTTCATGATTTACTTGTTACGGATTTATTTGATGACAGTAACAAAGATAGGGACATAGTTAAGTTACATGAGAAGAAATGCTCAGCACACCATAATTTGGGATATAAAGATGAGCACATGCATAGTTTTCGGATTAACAATAATGCTGATCTTATAGCGGAATCTAGTATCTTTCCATCTAATGAAGTCTCACAATATGCCGACTCTAAAAGTGAAATTACTCACTGTGATTTGCATGAGACTCGGTCACAAAATTTGGAGTATGAAGCAGAAATGCTTAGCGGGCTTAAAATATCTGATGGACCAGAAACACCACCGAAACTTATGACTGCTTCTCAAGGAGGAATTGTCAGTGAAGACAGAGTATCTGAATGGCTTTGGACACTACACCGAATAGGTAAATAAAACTTGCATTATACTCTTTCATTAGTTAACAGATCCGCAATTCTACACTCTAAAAGTGTGATTATTTTATTTTTTAAGTTGTTGATGTAGTAAGAACAGATAGCCATCTTGAGTTTTATGAGGACACCAAAAATTTGGCCAGGATGTCAGATATTCTTGCTGTCTACGCCTGGGTTGATCCAGGAACAGGATATTGCCAAGGTTCTACTTTTTTACTTTTGTTTAATTTTTTTAAAAATCTCTTTTATGAAAGATAAGTGATTCGGTCTAAGTTCAGATTCTTCATAACTGCAGGCATGAGTGATTTGTTATCTCCCTTTGTTGTCCTTTTTGATGATAATGCTGATGCATTCTGGTGCTTTGAGATGCTTTTAAGAAGAATGGTATGTGTGTTCCAAAATTTACTTGACGTCTTCTTTTTGTAATTTGTTATTCTGCAGTTCTCTTTGTTTAAACATGTAAAACATTATTCCTCAGCGGGAGAACTTTAAGATGGAAGGACCAACTGGTGTAATGAAGCAGTTGCAAGCTTTATGGCATATATTAGAACTTACAGACAGAGAGATGTTTTCTCATCTATCTCTTATAGGTGCTGAAAGTCTTCACTTTGCTTTTCGCATGCTGCTGGTGCTCTTTCGACGGGAACTAACTTTCAGCGAAGCCCTTTGTATGTGGGAGGTGTGTTTGTGAACATATTTTCATTTTTTTTTTCTTGTTATTTATTGATCTTAGCTACATTTCATTAACTAAACACGTGTTCACAAAAACCTACTCTAAAACGTGTCTTTCCATTTCTTCGTTATACGAATATGATTATCTTAAACTTATTATTGACCAGATCCTAATCTAATTAGTATCTCTATTTGAAAATTATACTTACATGCATAACAATTATAAATTTATTTATTACCACTCTAATAATATAATATAATCGTGAATAATTACCAGCTATTGCATTTATTCTTAAAAAGATTAAAGCAACTTTATTGTTAAATGTTGTCCCACATAGGAAAATGTTGGGAGTTCCACCTTGTTTACAAGGGTGAAGGGAAACTCTTTTTATTACCAGTTGGTTTTGAGATGGAAACCTGCATACCTTCTTTAATATGGTATCGGAGCTGGGACGTCCAGTGTTCGAGTCCCACCGCCTCCTCTTCGTCCTCATTCACATGTTAGTTGACTTCCGTATAAATAAATGATGCTTATCTTTTTAAATTTTTAGGTAAAATGATCATTTAAAATGGTATTAGAACCATATGCCCTTATTGGTATGGATCTAGGGGGAGTATTAAATAATATCCCACAGAGGAAAATGTTGGGAGTCTCCTCTTATTATCAATTGGTTTTGAGATAGAGCCCTGGATCCCTTCTTTAACATGTGATTCTTCCTTTAACCTTATGTTAATCTGTTTTGCAAACACCAATCTTGTACCCAGATTTCTCTTCATTCACAATTTTCTAAAACAGCCAATTTGGAGATATCTAAAATCGATGTCTGTGTTCTTTTACAGTTTGGTTTTGGTTTTTTAGTTTTGGTTATTGGTTTGAATGTGGTGTTTTGTGAGAAGCAATGGTGAATTTTTTATAGGGAATCATGCTGGTTGCATTGTAAAAAGAACTTAGTTCAAACTCCAAAAGAACAGATTCAATGCTTTTGTAAACCATTACCACAACACCTATGTTTCTGTATGTCTTGTACTCATGTAATTTTAAGTGTGTAGCTGACATTTAAGATTTAGTCAAGAATTAAATCATGATTTTTGCTTCCATTCTTATCCCAATATTTGTTGCAACTTTGTAGTGGGAATGATCGATCATCTTTTGGCATCCCCATTCCCACAAGCTTATTTCTATGACTTAGGGAATATGTATGTATATTTTTAATTTGGATAATACAATTAATATAATATGCAAATGTGACTTTTGTTAAATGCTAGGATTATACACGGTAATTAATTTTAAAATTATATTATATATATATAAATAATTTCAATACTTCTCCTTCGTTCCATTTGCCTATTAGCCAGGTCGACATTTTTTTTTTCTTTTTAAAATTTATTTGATTTTATTTTTTTGGATAGTAATATATAATTTTATTAATAGAAAGAGAGTTACATAGATCCAAAAGCCAAGGTAAGAACAGAAAACAAGTTAGAGAGAAGCAGAAAAACAGTAAGTGGAAAAAGACAGAGGGCGGGATGATGGGAATAAACAGATGTTGGATAATCTACGTTTCATTTCTAATTGATCTCATTCTCAATTAAATACATTGTTACATGTTTTGAGTTTGCAAATGAAATCCAAATTGAATGGATGTTGATCTCAATTAAAAAAAACAGAAAGGTTGTGTTTCTTTGTGAATTTGGATTTTTGGATTTGGACTTTTTAATGGTAAAAGTTTGAATATGAATAGTTATTTGATGTGATATAAATAGATATTGATGTGATATTTTGAATGTAAAATTAATTTCAAGAGAAATGTAAAAATTGAAAAAATAGTTGTCTAATTAGATATTTTTGGAGAAAACAAATTAAGTGAATTGGAAAAATCTTATGATCTACACGATTTCACCGGTAAATACTGTGCAACATCTAGAAACTGCAAATGATCAGTTACATTCTGCTAGAGCTAATGAAGTTTACAGTGACGTTCTGGAAGTAAGATTGTGTATTATAATTGGTTGACAACAACTGAAATTTGTTGCTATTTTTTAATAAATTGAATGCATCATGTTTCAAGACTTACTTCTTATGTCTAATCTTGTGAAGTTGTGTAGCATCTCTTGATATATCCAATATATAATTTTATGAATTATGCTTTTGTTAAAACAAAATTCTATGCATATGTATTTTCTCATGCAGATGATCTGGGCTGCAGATTTTGATGCATCTTTGACATGTCTTCTGGCTGAGAACTGCCCAGAAGTATTGGCTATACAGTTACCTAAGGAAGCAGAAGCTGAATCTATTGAAGAGACCATTGAAGCTCATTCTGTTGGTTCAAAGGGTAGCTTTCCAGCAAAACATGCTTTTGTAGGATGCTCCATCTCTGACAGCAATAGAATCAGAACCATTTCTGCTAGACCATTCTGTGGATTGACAAAAACTTTCTGGACAAAGAATGACCATTTTAAGATTCGTACTCTCTTATCGTCAACAAGAAATGGTGATGATGAACTTCCCGTTTTTTGTGTCGCGGCTATTCTTGTTATGAACCGTCAGAAAATTGTCAGAGAAACTCACTCAATTGATGACCTAATAAAGGTATGTCGAATATCTCATTGCAATAATGCCTATTCGAGTCTTTATGTTCTAGTGATAGAAGTCCCACTTTTGCGTAAAGAATGTTGGAACGAATTTTTAGGTTTAGATGTCTATAAATTCCTACCTTAATTAATTTTGAATTTTGATGTCTAAATTCTACCCTGATTATTAAGTATTTATTCTCAACGAGGATGATTAGCATCACTTCTTGTTACTCTTCATCCTTATAGTTTCATCTATTGCTTAATCAAATACGTGGAGATAGTTGAAGGAGTCTTGTTCATATATATGGACTCTTATGCTTTAATCACTTATCAATCATAGCCTGATATAACCCATAATTCCCTCAATTTCCGGTGTTACTAGTTTGTACTTCAAGCATGAGGCAGTTGTGTTCATGCATGTTTTGTGATAGTATGTGTACCCTTCTCATGCCCTTATAAGATTTACTTGTACATCAGCATGGGTTTAATTGATAATCCTGCGAAACTGTCCCCAGTTGTGTGTGAGAAGTTAAAGTGGTTGAACTTGTTAGCTTCTGGTTACTCAGATCTTTTATCCAGTTCTGGTTTATTAAATTAAAGTTGATCAAAATTTCCTTTGATGTAGAATAATGTTTGTAATATACTTTTCAGGTTTTTAATGATAATATTTTGAAGATCAGAGTCAAAAGATGTGTACGTATTGCCATGAAATTACGAAAGAAGTACTTTTACAAGGTATGCTTGATTAGTTGTCTATCTTGTCAAATTGGTGCATGTTCTGAGTGGAGTTATTTGACATTGTGTAGTTCATGATATATTTATCTTCGTTTTCATGTGTTTGTACCATGATTACACTAAAAGTATCAAAGTGACATTTTACATCCTATCTTGGTTTAGAAATTTAATATAATATTTTACATTCATTCATTCAACTAGCATAAGGACGCTAAATATGTACTTCATATTGTTACAGTTGATCAAGAGTAGGAGTCCAGTGGTTCATAATGGTAGATAAATTCCAGTTTCTTCCTTTCAATTGTGATGGCAATTGCTTTTAGATCAGTGTATCTGCTGATTATATGATAGCCACTTCCTGGGTGGAAGATTTTGTCTTTATGGGCATCTGTCACGTGGCTTGAAAAGCGTCAAATCTATTCCGAAGGTATTGATCTCTCTTGAATCCTTGATTTCTCTCTCTCTGCAATGTTTTATTGCAGTTGGAACTGCTAATTATTACTACTTGTTATGTGTTCTATGCATCTCTAGTGTTCTTAGTGAAGTATTTTGCTAATGGTGACATTATTGAATTACTAATATACACACGGTAGTGCTGGTACATAGTCAATGTAGTGAAGCTTTTTTTTTTTTTTTTTTTTTTTTTTTTTTTTTTTTTTTCTTTTACACAATATAGTGCAGATGTTTTTATTTTATTTATTTATTTTTTAATTGTTTTACTTAAGCATTGCTATATCCTGTATTCTTAGTGATGACATTTATTTCTGTGTCGGCTACATGCTATATCTATTGAACACTTATGCTCTTACTAAGATTTGTGCTCAAGAGGATTAACAGATGTTACTAACATTTTGCATTTGAATGTCAGTTATGCCTGTCTTAACATGTTTATATGGTTGTTGATACTTAGTTACTGTAGTGACAATGCTTTTTGGGAATGAGTCTGTCTTAAAATGCATAATTTAATAAAATCTGCACTATGTTAGTATTTTTCAGTATGTGATATTTTAAGCGATCATGCCTACTTGGATAATCCAATGTTGAAGTTATCGTGCCTAGAATATTCACTTAAGTACTATATTTGTAATTTGTTAAATCCTAAATTGTTAGTGAAGAATGCATTGCATAACTGACATGTCTTATTTGAGAGGATCCCAAGAGGCTTTGAAGAAATTTAAGTTGAAACCATCAAGCCAAGGGCTAGCATAAGGAGAGGGCCTTATAGATTTCTGTTAGTGAGAAAAGGTTGTGCAAGATTCTTCAAATTAGCCTGGAAATTGAATGAAATTCAACTGACATTGAAGTTTACAAGAAATGCTGGAAAACATCCATATTAACATTAACAACTGAGAAGCTCAATCCCCCTCACACAGAGAAAGTTTGTTTGCATTGTTTCCTTTATTTGCTTTAAGGGAGGATCATCAAGGAGGTTGGACATTCAGTTTGAAGGTGGGACAACAGAACTTTATACCCTTCAATGTAATCCTTATGGCGAATGATCTTGTCGTGATAATACTTTGTTCGCTCTCTGTACAACTTGACATTCTCATATGCAAGGAAGCAAAATTAAGTCGAATCCATCACTTCCTTGTTTGCTTTTTCTAAGCTGGTAGTAAGTCGAAAGTACAAGAATTTAATCGCCCAATAAGCTCTCTATTCCAATTCCAACGGAAGATGACATTATTTCCAAAACTGAGGCCATATAATAAGATCCAATCAGTCCTAGATGGTCGTTTCTTCTTCTAGTATAGACCTTGACCTTGCCCGACTCCATAACAACTCCATCGCTTTTGAAAACCATCTTGTCCTCAAGGCAGAAGTCGAAAAACTAGATGCTTAATTCCTACTCAGTAAGCCAAGTTGAATCCTATTATGTTAGTCTGTGCCAACATATCAAAACCTAAGGAATGAACTTGCTGTCTCGCCTCTACCGCCATCTGCTCGGGCTCAGTGGATCCAACACCTCATCTTCTGTCCATCCCTCGATATTGTCCATCTCTTTGAGCTCGGCCACCCAATTTGTGTCTGGGTTTACCACACAAGTTCAAAGGGATTTGCTGATACACTTATGCGATGGTGCATAAGGCTCCTTGTAACGATAACAAAGTCGCTTAGATTGACACTCGCGATACTCTTCACGACTTAGTTCCCGGAGAGGGACTCGCCCGGAGGACTGGTCTGATGCGGCCGGGTGCCCGCCTGTGGAGCTGCTGTCCTTGCCTGGTCTACTGCTCCCGAAGCTACTCCCAAGACTAAAGAGACCTACGGATGGCCCAGTCTGCACCCCACCACTAAGGTGGGAACTCGTAGACTGTCCAGGCGGTTGATATGTTGTGGCAAAACCAACATTAAATTCCCACTCAATGCTGCGGCTGATCTGGATAGCTGAATCCAAATCTTTGGGGTCTAGCGTCCTCAGACGATTATGGATGTTCTGCTGCAATCTCCCATGAAGTATCCGAGGTAGTGCTCATCCGTTAAGTCTGGAACCTATGTTGTTAGTTGGATAAACTCGTTGATATACTGATCAACTTCCTTTTTTTGTCGAAGTGTGGCAAGGTGCTCATAGCGGCTTCCTACGACGATCATCAAAACGAATATTGGGGCTCGGGAAAACTCCGCCTAAGTGGCAACTGGATGACGAAAGTGTTGCCATCGAGACCAGTGCTGCGCTATGCCTTCCATGGCGATGCGCGCTAACACCACCTTGAGTTCTTCTTGCACTTGGTGGAGTTCAAACTGTTGCTCGGCGAGAGCAACCCAACCAATAAGCTCCGTCCCATCAAACAACGGTAGTTTGACTTCTGAGAGTAGCGGGGTGGCGAAGTCTCGTGGTAGTCAGGCCCCCCAATGGTAGAGAATCCGACGCAAGCAGAAGCAACTTCATGGGTGGTGACGTTGGGGGTGCCGGAAATCGCATCGATAGCTGACCCACCGACGTATTAGCATCAGCAGTGGCACTGACACTGACACTACCGACCGCTGCCGTAATTGTTGCGAGCAACTCTTGCTGCAACGACGCCATCTGATTCGTGTTCAGTGCTTCTAAAGTCTCAAGCTTGGCGGAAAAATCATGGCAGATCTGATTTTACCTACTCCTGTATTTCCCCAAAAGGCTGATTCCAGTAGCTCGAATCGTTGTGTTTATTAGAGAGGCATGATTCTGTCAGTAACGATATGACAGGTTGAATCAAATTGTTATAACTTAGGGTTTATAAAAAAAGATAACTTTATTCGAATCAATAAAAATATAAAACCACAGAGCAAAATCAATTTGCTCTGTAATCAAAACCAAAATAATAAGTGCCTTCCCGAATATGACCTAGATGCACCCTATGTATAGATGGGCTCATAGACCAAGCCCAAGACTCATAATTCAAGAACTAAATATGAAATAAAATAATAAGAGAAATAATAATTATTGACAAATTCCTCAGTCTTGTGCCACGAGCAGTCCTAGATGGTCCTTCTTTCTCTATTAGTATAGACCTTGACCTTACCTGACTCCATAACAGTAACACTATTTGTGTTGGAACTCGTCATCCAGTTACAAGCTGCAGCCTAAAAAATTCACCCTTTCCATTGGTTTCATCAATAAATTCTCCTTTCTTTTGCACTACCTGTGTTGGCCACCCCCATTTGCCATAGCCTGCATCAAGTAATTTCAAAACTTCTTTCTTCACTACTCCTTTGTTGACGTCATTGTTGAGTCTCTTCAGCTGTCTGCATGATTTCTTATTGTCCTCCGGTTAGATGCTATGTATACAAATGCAGGATTGATTACCTTCATGTCGCCTATCTTCCATGCAATTGAATCCTCATCTCTTCACAATATTTCAATTAATTGCTCCTCCCGATCTAGGTTAAGTGAGCTGGCAACGGTAACTGGTAATTTCTAGAACACTTATATCAGATTCCTAGGGAGCTTTTTGAGTTCTCTCTTTTACTTGTTTTCACTTTCCCCAATCTGATTTTCTTCAATGTGTTCACAAAATGGGGTTATTATTTCAGGATTGATTTTGCCATTGATGAGTTTTGCCTTTTCCATTTATTCATTTTCTTGTCATCAGTTGATTCTTCTGATTTGTGTGTTCACACTTGGAATAAATCAGAGGCTAGTGAAATTTCAAATTCTAGTTGATTATTTCATTCAAAGCAGCAATCCTCATTTTGATTCTGAGGTTGTAACATGGCATCTTGCATGAGAAATGTGATTTGGTCCTCGCCAACCCTTAGAGTGAGTTTGCCCTTGGCAAATGTTTGCTTGAACTGTGGCTAAGAACAGCCTGCCAAGAAAGTGGAGTTTCTCAGCCATCGTAAATTTTCATGATAACAAAATCTGCAGGACAAACAAATTTATTCACTTGCACTAATATGTCAAATATGATTCCCTTCATAATTCAACAAACTTGTCAGCTAATTGCACAATGGTTTTGCAAGGACTCAATTTGTACATTTCTAACTTTCTAAACAATGAATAAGGCAAGAGAATAATGGTAGCTCCTTAGTCCACACACTGGCTTTTTCGAAGTTAAATTTCCTATTTCACAAACTATCATAAAGCTTTCAGGATTGCTAATTTTTTTGGGGAAGGTCTTTATGGAAAACAAAACTACATGTTCCTTCTAACTGGATTGTTACTACCTCTTCAGAAAAGGCTCGCTATTTATTAAATGCATCCTTGATAAAATTAGCATATGCAAGCATCTGTAAAAAAGCATCATAAAAAAATATCGTAGTCTATAAATTCTGGAACAAGTGCACAAACTATCAAAACCTTTCTGGTCAGCTTTCTTCTTGACTGTCGTGGATATGAAACATGTGAAGACTTTAGAACAATTATTAGAGATCATCAGATCACCACTGTCACATCACATGTGGTAGGATTCTTGAATTATGCCTCTGTATCAAAATGTTCCCCATCATAACCTTTTAGCATATCCGTCGCAGTGCAAATTATAAATTTGGCAGTTTTTTCACTAAATGCAGACTCATTTGTATGGATATAGTTGTTTTTGTATCTCGTATCTACCTCTATGTCTCTAAATAGTTTTCTTTATCGGTAATATTATTTTTACTCTCAATAATAGTTTTAGTAGTATTATTATTATTTAAATGAATAAAAAGTAGCTTAGAAGATTTATGTAGCGGAATTTCCATTGTTCTTTATACTGTCAGGATGTTCTTAGAAATCTTGTCAAACCATACGTATAGAAAGGAGCCATACTATTAGCAGAAATTTTGAGCTCATCATATATGTAATGCAGCCAAGGTTGGGATCAATAAAAAATGGAAGAATAGTCCTTATAGTACCATATGTTGGAAGATTTTAGTTTCTGCACATCTCTTTTTTCATTTAAGTAAAACAAGTCCAGTCTGTTTCAGGTTTATATTGAGTAGATTTACGAAGTATCGTTGGTATTAATTATTTAATTTCATATGTAGTTATAATTTATACCATACTTTAGTATGTTCAGCATAATTCTAGTACTCTAGTTACTTGGATTCTAGGTAATAGTATTACCTTTCTTCATATTGTTTTCATGCGCTTTCCTCTATAAGTGAAGTGGTAGTTGTACTTGTTTAATGAAAACTCCTTTGTTTTAATCACATCCTAATGACTGCATTAATGAATAAATATGCTATCATTAAGTATTACTTTAAGAATTCTTGAATATATTATCTAAATGTTCGGAAGTGAACTATATCAGTCACTGCCTTTGGGCATGAATTTTTATTGTGCATAATTATATTTATATCCTCAAATGTTGAAAGTAGAATTACCTTTGAGATGTGAAGAATTAAGTTGTAGAAATAGTTTATATCAAGGACATGGAATTATCTGGCTAGTAGTGTATAATTGGCATTGAGGGTATATTTAGAAATGCTATTTTCACATATAATTGCGTAAATTCTTTGTGATAGATTTTTTTTTTTTTTTTTTGCTTATTTATTTATTTATTTAAGTAAAAATGTTGTTGGATGTGATGTTTTATATGGAATAGGAGTGCTGGGTGTGATATACTTGGAGGAAAATAAAAGGTTGAATAAAAAAATCAATAGTAAAAATAATACAAAAGAATACACCTTTAGCTTTTATTATAATTCCAGTGTATTTGGGAAGATTTGGTTTTTGTTTTGTATTTAAATAATGTTTGATTTTGTGATACGAAAATAATATATGGTTTGGTAAACGGTCCAAATATTAAAAAATATATTCAGTGCACCATGATTACTTGCAGATTGTGATATTCTCTAAAGTTTGTAACATGATATTCTCTAAAGATTGTGACATTCTTTAAAGTTTGCAACATGACATTTGGTTCTTGTCTTCGTAAGTTTGTAACATGATATTCTCCAAATATTGTGATATTCTCTTAACCTCTTCACAGTTACAAAATTGTTACAATTCCAAATCTGGTTACAAATTTTGCAATTCTGCATCGAGGTTGGTCTAATACCTGTTTCCATTGAATTGTGTTGCCCTATTGTTTTAAATTTTTGACGGTATATGGCCAATGTAAATGGCTTATGAAATGGTGCAAAGCCTTCAATAAAAGTTTTCAAACTCAGATTCATACTATTGAAAATGAATTGGTTTAGAACATTTTAGAGACTGTTATACATATATAGAAATCACTTCTCTTTCTTCGATAAAATCAATTACAAAATCGTCACTGCTAACTTGTTTTACTTGTATATATGAAATGGGAACAATTTAGGAAGTATGGTTTTGGTACTTTGCTCGTTTCTTGACTGAGAATAAACCGTCTGTGATGGTTTCTTTTTCTTCTTTCACCTCAGGAGGAATGCTTTTCTCTGCATGATCTCTCACAGAAAAAAGCTACTGAAGTTCGAATAGATGCCACATTCAACAATTGTTACTTACAATGAGAAATGTATCATAGATTTGATTTTGTTAAAACTTCATCGATGATCCAAGTGAGATGCATAAAACTTGCAACTCAGATGCTAATTTTCTTTTAGATTCCATGAATCACATCATATAAGAAACTTTGATCTCTTTGTGTATCTTGTGCACAATATGATAGTTCTTTCCATTACAATTTTTCTTATTTTCTTGGTGGAATTTCTTTCGTCTGCAAAGTCGAATCTTTCTCGCAAGTAAAAACTTATTGCTTTAGCAATTTGGGGGTAGATCAAAACTTTTAAGGGTTTTCTTTTTTTTGATAAGGAACTTTTAGAAGTAATTTTTTTTTTAGTATATTTGTAATTTAAGTAAAAGTTAGGGTATTGTGATATTAATTTATAATTTATAATTTTTTTATTTTTAAATTATAATTAAAAGGTAGTTATTGGGAATTGTGACAAACACAGCCTTATATTCCCAAATGATTTGATGGGTGATCGAGATATATACATATATATATTTTTAATTTAGGATCCTAAATCTTATTCTTCTCTTTAGCTCACTATATTGAATTTATATACGAGATATTATTTTGATAAGAATAAAAAAGATGTTATTCTTAAAATAAAATAAAATAAAAAAACCAAAATTATATTTATGTTAATATATGCAAGTGACTTGTCCCTGTTGGATTATTGTTATTATTATTATTTAGTTTAATGTTTGGAAGTTAAATAGGGTTGCATTACCCGGCTTGCTTGTCAATATTAATTAGTCCTTTTTATTTTTCCCCTAGAATCAATTATATTCTACACATTATTATTATTATTATTATTATTTTAAATTTCATATAAAAAAAAATGGTTGTGATGGAATATAGATGGAATTGCATGTGCCTCGATTATTACATTCACCAAGATCATCACGTGGGTTTTATTTTTATTTTTATTTTTATTTATATATATATAAAAGAAGAGGTTGATGGAGAAATGCATGGTGGTGGTGATCACTTTTGGGCATGATTAAAGTGTGGTGAAGATTATGATTATTATATATTTATTTATTATGCTTTTCAACTCTTGTGAAGTGATAGATTTATTCATCCAAATCTAATATAATAAAGAAATATGTAATATATTTATTCTCCACTTTCGATATAATCAGGGACTTTTTATGGATCAATTATCATGTGCATGTGTGTGTATGTATGTAATTGATTAATTCAAGTTGATCTTAAAATAATAATAATAATAATAATAATAATAATCAAAATAAGGGAAATTAATTCGTAGCCATACAATACATATAGATTTGAAGTTGTGGCAACTTTGCATCATATGCTCTCTCTCTCTCTCTCTATATATATATATACATATATATATATATATTATTCTAATAGGAACATATGCTTTTTAAGTGTATATGGTGGTTTTCCTTGTATATATACTTCTTGTCTCTCCTTATTTCCCTTTTGTAGATTTCCTAACACACATACACACATAGGGAGAAAGAGAGTTTTACTTGCTTTATGCATGTGTATATATATATATATACATACATACATAAGTATATAGATAAACTCAATTTCCTAATTATTGAGTTTGATTCGGTCAGTATATATAATAAAAGTACACAATATATATGATACACTATTCAATTCATTTATTTTTTGCGTGTTGATTTTGAATATTAATTATCATGACCCGCTCTTAGGGAGAACAATATAAACAAATGTTCAGGACTTGGTGTAAGAGGGCCCATAATTTTAGAATTTAGACAATTACTATTATTAGATCTATTAAATTTTAAATTAGATATTAGATTTTAATTCATTTTTATTTTCTACACTTATCCAATTTAATTCTAATTCTAATTCTAATTCTAAAATTAAATTTAACTATTTTTTTAAATCTCCATCTCCATCCCTTTTCACCCCGCACGTTTCATCCATTAAAATTTAATTTAAATTTATTTTTTTGTCTTTATTTGTACAAAAATTTTGGAATGAAAAATACATTTGGAATTCATGGTATTACAATTAGTATTTTTGTTGTTATTATTATTATTATAGTATTGGTTTCACAATAATCATGATATTATTTAGTTTTAAGTGATGATAAATTTTTGCTTATGCCTTTTTACCGGATATATGATTAAAATAATATTTATTTTTGTAGAGTTTATTATTATATTTATCTTTGAAAATAAATTTTATAATATATTTATAGGGTTTATAATTTATTTTTTTGTTCAAGCCTAAGAAAACTTCGAGACAACCCTGTTAATTATTATATCATAAGTACAAATTAAGAAAAAATTACAAGAATACTTCCACTAGTGTCTTATAATACTAATAGAAGGACATTTAAAAATATATATATATAAATATAAAAATATTTTTAATGTGAAGTACAGTGACGCAAAAGATAAATGTGACCTTAGAGGCGAACGAATAAAGTATATAATATAATATATTTATAACACAATATATGATGTGCTATAGGTAGAAATATATAATCTTTAACTTTATTATATATGTTGATTTGACTCATTTAAACAGTAGATTCGCCGTATGTATAAAAAATATGAAAAAAAATACTCCTTCTGTCCTAATACAATAGTCTTGTTTACCATTTTTGTTTGTTCCAAAACAATAGTTTTATTTCCATAAATAACCATATCACCATAAGCTACCTAAACTTTTTCATTTTTATTACATAATTGTCACTGTGTTTTACACTAATACATTCACAGGGCAAAAAAGTCTTTTATTCGTACTTTTTACCAACTACCAATATAATATCAATATTCCTTAAATCTCGTATCCAACCCAATTAAGACTATATTTAGGGGAGGGAGGGAGTATATTCTATTAATTTGAGTGGAATTTTGTAAATGTTACAAGATTATATTAAAATAAATAAATACTACATTGGCCCCATAGCTTTTGCTAGCTGTTGTTTTAACATGAGTTTTTATGTGGTATAATATCAATAGCTTTTGATCTATTTTGTTCTTATGTTTTATCTGGAATATAATCTTTTTATATGATAGTAAAATTTATCTATGAAAATAAAAAATGGTAAATGTATATATAAATTTAAAATATATATATTTAAAAGAATTGAGACTAATTCATATAGAATCAAATCAAAATTGAAACCCAAAATCAAAAGAATCGAAACCATTAATTGAAGAATTAGAAAAAAGGTGTGGTTTCATTTATAAATTTTATAGAAAAATAATCAGAGTCATTTGTTTAGTTTAGTATCAAATGGTTCATAATTTGTAAATATAAATACATTTTAGGGACAATGTTATGTTATTTCACCGATTTAGTATATATTTCATTTGAACATATACGAATCGCTATATTAATTGTATTTTATATTTATTATTTTTTAGATGTAACAATCTCTTGTATATGATTTTTTAAATTTAGTGAAACATATCGACATTCTTATTTACTTTATATGGTAATTTTAATTTCGTTGATACACAAAATTCAGCCCATCAAAATTTCGTTCATGATGTGAATCGAAAAAGTAGAGAAAATTTTATTTCACTTAAAAAACACAGAGATATATATAAAAAATAACTACCAGCAGTTACACAGTTATTATGCAGCAATGCAGTGGAGTATTAGAGCTATCAACTGTACTAACTGCTTTAACTGTCTTCAACTCCCTTTAAGTATCAACTTCAACACCCCCCGCAAGATGGAGCCGGTGGAGATCCACCAGCCCCATCTTGGAAAGTAAGTAAGAAAATTGTAGTCCAGGTATAGACTTAGTTAGCAGATCAGCAATCTGATCAACTGTAGACATGAGTTGGAATAAAAAAACCAGCTTTAAACAAATCTCGCACAAAATGACAATCAAGCTCGATATGTTTAATCCGTTCATGGAAACTTAGTTGCGAGTAATTTGGATCACCGCAATGTTATCACAATGAACAGAAATAGGAAGAAGAAAACTGGCTTGCAAATCAGTTAAAACATAAGATAACCATTGTAGCTCCTTGCTCACAGTACTCAAGGCCCTGTACTATGATTCTGCAGTTGATAATGCAGCAACGGTTTGCTTCTTAGATTTCCAGGATATCAAGGAAGAACCATAGAAAACACAATAGCCTGGACTTTAGAGTGAGAGTACAACTCCCCCAATCAGCATCTGAAAAACCCGTAAGAGAAGAAGAGAGAGTGGAGGAATAGAATAATCACATGGACAAACATCCCTTTAAATATCTGAGGACATGGATAGCCAAATCCCAATGTATTTGTTTAGGGGAGTTCACAAATTGGCTCAACTGTTGGATTGCAAAAAAGAGATCAGGTCTGGTGAGATTTAGATAAAGCAATTGACCAATGAGTCTTCTGTACTGATCAGCTTCATGAAATGCTGGAGAATCTGTTCCAGTTAGTTTTAAACCAGAGACCAATGGAGTGCTAGCTGCTTTACATCCAACTAATCCCATGCGATCAAGCAAATCTAAAGCATACTTTCTCTTACACAAGTATATACCTCCAGAACTCCTAGCCACTTCCATACCTAGAAAATATTTTGCTTCCCCCATATCTTTGATGGTAAAACATTGATGCAACAAAGATTTTACTTCTGTGATAAGTGCCAAATTGAGACCTGTAACAAGGACATCATCAACATATACAATGAGGCATAAGAAAGAATCCCCTGACCCTTTTGTAAAGAGGCAGCGATCATGGGCAGATTGAGTGAATCCATAAGTAAATAACACTCTACAAAAATTTGCATTCCATTCCCTTGAGGCCTGCTTTAAACCATATAGGCTTTTGACTAACTTGCAAACTTGACCTGTCTTGCCTTTGGTATAACTTTATGGTATTTGCATATAGATGTCCTCTTGTAGAAATCCATGGAGAAATGCATTATTAACATCTATTTGGTGAAGAATCCATCCTTTCATAGCTGCAACAGCAAATATAATTCTGACAGTGACAAGTTTAGCAACTGGGGAGAATACCTTATCATAATCAATGCCATATTGTTGTTTGTATCCCTTGGCCACTAACCGAGCTTTAAACTTGTCAATGCTACCATCTTGCTTGAGTTTTATCTTGTACACCCATTTGGAGCCAATGGCAGACTTTCCCATAGGTAAATCTGTGATCTTCCATGTGCCATTATTCTCAATGGCTCGCAACTCATAGTTCATAGCATCAACCCACTCAACATATTGTG